CTCAGCCTCCTGAGTAGCTGGGACTACAGGCGCCCGCCACCTCGCCCAGCTAGTTTTTTTGTATTTTTTTAGTAGAGACGGGGTTTCACCGTGTTAGCCAGGATGGTCTCGATCTCCTGACTTCGTGATCTGCCCGTCTCAACCTCCCAAAGGAAATTTATCATTCTTTCAAATGACTCTCTTTCCTTTTTCATATTGTTAAAAAAGCCCGCCTCCATCGGCTTGTTAATTACAGGAATATAAAATCCCAATGGCAGGGTAAGAGGCATCTACGGTTACATTTCTGCCCTTAGACCTGCATGTTTTGTGAACAAGAAAGCCAGAACCTACTGCCAGATCACAACTCTTGATCTCTTTTGTTACACAACTGCCTGTGTTCTTTAAACAAAAACTGTGGTAAAAATCACCTTATAATTTTGTTGGATTTGAGGAATCAGAGACAGTGTTCCCCAAAATATGTACTGTTATAGACTGCACAGATTTATTAGCCAGATGTTGCTTGTGTTTTTAGTTGGCGACTGCATTTAGCCATCTGGCCAGGAAGTTGCTTAACCTTGTTGTAGATAACGTCCATATGTTTGGTGTTCACATACAATAGAACATCTGTATTGAAAATCTTCCTGTGGCCTCATGTAAGGACTAGAAACTGACTGGAAGTAGAAGGGGAGACATGCAGGGGACCCTGCCGGGGTCAGTGGGGAGTAAATAAGGTGGTGGGAAGATCTCTCCTCCAGGTTTTCTTCCCTCTCTCCTTCCTCAACTCTGTGATATTGTCACAACTGCCAGCTATGCGTTTGGGTTGATGGATGTATAGGTGATTGCATATATATGTGAATATGTGTGTGTACATATGTAGTGTGCTTTAGGCTGGGTGTGGTGGTTCACGCCTGTAATCCCAACACTTTCGGAGGCCGCGGTGGGTGGATCACCTGAGGTCAGGAGTTGAGACCAGCCTGGCCAACATGGTGAAATCTCTCCATCTCTACTAAAAAATACAAAATTAGCCGGGTGTGTGGGCACACGCTGTAATCCCAGCTACTTGGGAGGCTGAAGGCAGGGAATCTCTTGAACCTGGGAGCGGAGGTTGCAGTGACGCCGAGATTGCGCCACTGCACTGTAGCCTGGCGCGACAAGAACAAGACTCTGTCTCAAAAAAAAAAAAAAAAACCAAAAAAAAAGTATGCCTTCAGACTTTTCATATTTTACATAATACATTAGTAATACATACTTCACTTGGGCCTTGTAGATCTGTAAAACTTCTCATTGGAAGACAAAGCCACTGCTGATTGCAATGGAAGTAAAAATTGAGGAATTTTTTTTTTTTTTTTTTTTTTTTTACTTCTCCCGAGGTGACACATTTTGAGCTAAAGAAAGCAACCTCCAAGAATTTCATATTCCTAATATTTGTGGGCAAGCCTGACTTTCTAGGATGTTTTTACTTGCCCAGTTGCTGTGGTGGGAGTTGTGCTAGAAAATTCAACCTCCTTGGTCTATGTCCATGAACTTCTAAATTCTTATTGTTCTAGAATTCTAGATTTGGACCTGGTGGTTAGAGATGAAGACGGGAATATTTTGGATCCAGAATTAACTAGCACGATTAGTCTCTTCAGAGCTCATGAAATAGCTTCTAAACAAGTGGAGGAAAGGTTACAAGAAGAAAAGGTAAGTTTGACTCTCTGTAATATGCCTTTTACATTTGGAACACGTTTTCTCAGTAATAGGTTTTCAACATTAGTAAAATATCAGTCAAGTCCAGAATTTTCACTAAGAAAGAACCTGAAAAGGAGTAGCTGCCAGAGTGTTCTACAGGCCATTGAGTGGAACGGACTGGTGGCACAGGATCGTCACCCATGACTATGAAAGGTGGATTGGACAGCATTGTGTTTCTCTAGGCAGGATCCTAATGATGTTGATTTTGATGTTCTCCATCTGTCCCAAATGGAACAAACAGATTGTTCTGCATTTCCTCCTGTCTTTTTTTTTTTTTTTTTTGGACGGAAATCTCGCTCTGTCAACCCAGGCTGGACGTGCAGTGGCTTGGATCTCGGCTCACCTGCAAGCTTCCGCTCTCTCCGGGTTTACGCCCTTCTCCTGCCCTCAGCCTCCGAGTAGCTGGGACTACAGGCCGCCCGGCACCCTCGACCCGCTGCTAGTTTGTTTGTATTTTGAGTAGAAGACAGGTTTCATCGTGTTGAGCCAGGAATGGTCTCCGATCGCCTGACCTCCGTGATCCGCCCGTCTCGGCCCTCCCAAAGTGGCTGGGATTACAGGCTTGAGCCACCGCGCCGCTCCTCTCTGTTAATGGTAGGCAGGTTATGTATTCAAGCTCACTGAGGGCAGACAGCACATGTCTTACTGGTTTTTCATCTTCTGTGATCTTTAATGGTATCATATATGCATTAGCCTATTCTCTCCTTACTATAAGGAAGTGCCTGAGACTGGGTAATTTATAAAGAAAAGAGATTTAATTGGCTCATGGTTCTGCAGACTGTATAGGAAGGAGAGTGGCTTCTGGGGAGGCCTCAGGAATCTTACACTTATGGCGGAAGACGAAGTGGGAGCCAGCAGTTCACATGGGTAGAGCAGGAGGAAGAGAGAGGGTGTGCAGGGGTGCTACACGCTATGCCTTTAAACAACCAGATCTGTGAGAACTCACCATCATGAGGACAGCACTGAGGGGATGGTGCTAAACCATTCATGAATAATCCACCCCATGATCCAGTCACCTCCCACCTCCCATACACACACATACACACAGTAGATATTCAAAACTGATTGAATAATTGAATCATCTGTTAATTCAGTAAGTATTTACTGAGCATCTACTGTGTTTCAAATGTTGAAGACATAATGATAAATGAGACAGATGTCCTTGGAGGGTTTAGTCTAATGAGGGAACAAAAAATTAAATAACTACACATATAATAATTATTTTGATTTATTGGTTGGATACCTGAAAGTTTTGTATCTTCGAAAATAGCACAACAATTGCACGGGATACGATTTTTTTTGTCTGTTGTGTGAATGCATGATTTAAGAATGTGCAGGGGAGATAAGAAAGTGACTGCACCAATGGCTTTGCTGGGTTATGCCAATGAATTATTACCTTTTTCTATTCTGTAGGGAATAAAGAAAGCAAGTGTTAGTGATGAGCGTTGCTGGGGTTGACTTTCTGTTTCCTTCCATTCACAGTCTCAAAAGCAGAACATAGATATTAACAGACAAGCCAAGTTTGCTGCAACCCCTTCTCTGGCCTTGTTTGTGAACCTCAAAAACGTGGTTTGTAAAATAGGAGAAGATGCGGAAGTCCTCATGTCTCTGTATGACCCTGTGGAGTCCAAATTCATCAGGTAGGTGAAATTTCTTGGCGGCTGTCTTTCCTCTTTGGTTGGTGTTAGGAACGTGGGATCAGAACCACTGACGCGCGCCATTCATGCTGAGAGGCCCCGGATGAATGGCTGCTGGACACGACCAAGCAGCCGAGCCAAGAGCTGTCTTGGACAGTGTGATGGCAGCCAGTTTGGGCTCTGGGTCAGGGTGAACCGTCTCGCGTGTAGATTGCTATTTGCTCGTAAAGTTATAGCAATTGCAGGTACACTCTGTAGAGTGCAGCTGAAGATTGAAGTAATACTTTGTTTCCTAAGTTGTCTTCGTAAGATTTTATGTACCCTGGTCCCTCAAATATCACTATTTCCATTTTTCAAAATTTGGTTTCTTTGAATGCCATTTCTGTGACTTTCATCCTGTTGTTTTTTCTGCAAGATGACTGACTGGAATACATCATTTAGAATGGTGCCTGCCACATACAGACTGTCAATTAATATTTGTTAAATGAAAACACTGTAAGTCTGTTATTCCTGCTTAGCCTTCAGTATAACTTTCTCTTTGCCCAGATGGAAACACTGTGGTTCAATTATGTATGAATTGTGTGTGTGTGTCTGTGTATATGCTAAAACTCTAGGATCTTCACTTGTATTATTCAAAATTTGAAAACTCAGTGTATGAATGATACAGAAAAATATGAGTGGATTTTATTCTCACTTCTTGTAAAGACTTTGTTTCCTCTTTACATAGGATGCAGTTTTTATTTTACAGTGTATTTGGTTTGTCATAGGTTTTGAAATAAACATGCATTGTGCTGAATTTTATAGTATTGTCGTTCTAAATGAACAAATAGGCTGTTAAAAAAAAACCAACTTAGAAATACCATTTGCAAGTAGTTCCATTACAGTGACAACCCAAGACATCCCACATTAAAACTTGGCAGGGTTTTTCTGCTGTGGATGTTAATTGATGAGTAGCTGTATGTGCTATTTTTGATATTTATAAACTCATAGTTGTCTGTATAGTGCACCTATGTGGTATTAATTATGAAGCAATGTGGCTGTACATTTGGTACTCTGTTATTTGGAAAATTAACTTGCTTTTATTTCTCCCTTTTTCAAGTGAAAACTACCTGGTTCGCTGGTCCAGTTCAGGATTACCTAAAGACATAGACAGATTACATAATTTGCGAGCTGTGTTTACTGTAAGTGCACGCAAAGATGTTTGGTTGAATTGGCCACCATTCTAATGACTACTTTTAGTGATTTCTCTCGGCCTTCCTGCCACACTAGAACATGGGTCCCTGAGATGCCTGTAATATCGGTTAATTTAGTATGACTAAGTAGAGTGCCTTTCCAGAAATTTTTTGAGTCTCTAGCCACCCTTAGAATGACCGTGACAAAGATTTACCCCATTACCATGGAATGTGCCTCTTAAATGTGTATCTTTTTGTTTTGTTTTTTTTTTTCCTCCAGACGGAGTCTTGCTCTGTCACCCAGGCTGGAGTGCAATGGTGTGATCTCGGTTCACTGCAACCTACACCTCCTGGGTTCAAGCAATTCTCCTGCCTCAGCCTCCCGAGTAGCTGGGATTACAGGCACACACCACCACACCTGGCTAATTTTTTGTATTTTTAGTAGAGATGGGGTTTCCCCATGTTGGCCAGGCTGATCTCGAACTCCTGACCTCGTGATCCACCCTCCTCGGCCTCCCAAAGTGCTGGGATTACAGGTGTGAGCCACTGCACCCAGCCCTTAAATGTGTATCTTAAGCTCACTTAACAGTAATTGATTATTGTTATTAAATTCCTTTCTGTCATATGAATAACTGATTAAAATTATAAAAATGAGTCTGAGAAAAGAGTCTCAATCCATTTTTTTTACTGTCCTTTTCATTGGAACTTGCATTGAATAATGGTTCTCCAAAATAATTTATGGAAACTGATATTTCTAGGACCTCGGAAGCAAAGACCTGAAAAGGGAGAAAATCAGTTTTGTCTGTCAGATTGTTCGCGTGGGTCGCATGGAGCTGAGGGACAACAATACCAGGAAACTGACTTCGGGGTTGCGGCGACCTTTTGGAGTGGCTGGTAATCCATTTCTCTGTGTTTCCTTGAGAGTTTCAGATCGTCACAGTCACTTTCAAAAGAACCACTGCTGAATGGTGATTGGTCAGTGGGCAGCTTTGATTTATAAGCTTTTCTGCTGGAGAGAAAAAATATATTTATTAGTTATTTTCATTGTGGCTTCCAGTTGACCTGCTAGGCTCAGGATGTTCTAGGCCTCAAGTTTCAGATGTAAATCATATATTTGGTTTTAAAGTGGATCTCATCTTTCCCTGGGAGAGATGCTGACCCATATTCTCAGTCTGTAGGGAAGCCAGTCAGTGGAGGGTTTCAGGTCTTGGTGATGGACATCAGAATGGATTTGTGCAGGACAGTCAAAGCAACGAAGGAGAGGAAGGAAAGCAAACCGTGAAGAGGACGCAGTTAGCTTCATATTGGTGCTCTTCCTCCGCCACGTGGGTGCGCTTCCTGTGCCACGTGGGTGCTCTTCCTCCGCCATGTGGGTGCTCTTCCTCCGCCATGTTGGTGCTCTTCCTCCGCCATGTTGGTGCTCTGTTATTTTTGGTGACAGCACGAGGAATGTGAAAGACCAATTATCTCTGTTGAGGAAAGATAAAGGCATACCAGGAAGTTCTAATTATTTGCCCTATTTCAGTGTCACTCTCATGTTTCATAGTTTTGGGAAGTGGTTTTCTCTCTTTAATGGTTGCTACAATTTCATTACTTAGCACTCTGATATTTATTTTATGTTTGTGATTTTTGGGATTCATGTGCATATTCATGTGGGAAAGGTTCCTGATTCTTGACACATAGCTGGATTTTTTGTATGAACAGCGGTGGAAGACGTTCTTTGCCTTGGCTACCAGAAAAACTGAACTTAGTCCATTCCCCCCCTGCCTTTTAAATAAACATTATTTTTAGAAAGGTTTTAGGTTCAAGCAAAATTGAACAGAAAATATAGACAGTTCCTATATATTTCTCCTTCCTTCCCCTTGCGTCCCCATTATCAATATCCCCCATAGATTGGTACATTGATTGCAGTTGGTGAACCACATTGACACATCGTCGTCCTGTGAAGTCCGTAGTTTATGTTAGTGTTCATTCTTGATGTTGTGCCTTGTGTGGGTTTCGACAGTTGAATAATACTGTATATTCCCCATTGTAGTGCCACTGGGTAACTTCACCATCCTAAAATTCCTATGTGCTCTGCCTGGAATTTTTGGAAAAATATTTCAAGTCATTTAAATGATTTACTATATCATAAGAAGTAAGCCATAGCAGTGATATAGACATAATGAGAGCAGCATATTAATTCAGTTTACTTGAATTCAGTTTACCCATAGAGCTAACTAACGGAGTGTTCCAATGATTTTACCATTTGTGAGTGAAATGGTGAGGGTGAGGTTTTCTTTCTGAAGTCCCCACAACCTTGGGCTGGGGAAATCCTTTTGCATTTTCATCTCTCTGTCTTTTTGTTTTTAAGAGACAGAGTCTAACTCTGTCACCCAGGCTGTGTGATCACAGCTCACTGCTGCCCTGACCTCCTGGGCTCAAGTGATCCTCCTGTCTCAGCTTCCTGAGTAACTGGGACCACAGGCGCACCCCCTCATGCCCTGCTAACATTTTCATCTCATGACTTGAATACATACTTGAAAATTGCCCCTCTATTTGTCAGAGCCTGTAGCATCTTTTACATGTAATCTAGTGTTATATTTAATTACCTTTCATTTTCCAGGATTTTTTTTTTTTTCTTTTCCATCTTGATGGTAGTTTTAAGAAAATATTTAATTTTTGTCTCAGACATAATTGGCTCCATTTGAGCAATCAGAGACATCTTTGACAACACACGGAAGTCGCTCCTCTTTTCAACAGCAGACCTACAGATTCTCTGGTTATTAGATTACAAGATGGATTATGTCATAAGTGCCTACGAATGCGTAGTTATATTTCTTAAAGATGAAATCTAGACCATAGGCTGACAGTTTTTACCTTCTTTTGATTAAAATTTTTGGAATTTAAAAATTTGGAATATTTTTCAGTTTTCATTGGGTTGACAGTCCATGAAGGTCTAGGTACTAATGGATGGAGAGGCTGATGGGCATGGGCTCAGCTGACACCACTGTGGCCTTTCACTGTTTCTTACATGCTCACTTACGCTTGCTTGGTGGGGTCTAGAGTTAGGTTGGGCCCCCCAGCTCCTGGAGTTCTCCATGAATTACGGAAGCCCAGGTTATTCACTGGGGCAAAGCGGGCAGCTGGGACATAGTTCCTTATTTCTGGAGCCCCCACCTGTGTAGTGTTGGCTGAGACACTACATCTGGTCACTGGAGTTTGGATCCCCTGGCTGTGCGGCCACCAGGGACTTCTGTCCCCTGATATCTGCTGACCACACGGACACCCCCTGTGGTCCCTGGTTCCTCCTGTCTGAACTGGTCTCTGGTTCCCTCCTTTCCTGGTCTCGTGTCCCTGGTACCCACTGATACTGGGGCTTCTGAAAACCCACCTGGGACCAAGTTCTAGCCTTGTTGTTTTGCTCGTGAATTCTCTGGAGTGTGGCTTCTTCTTGCTGCTCTGCTCTGACTGGCACATGGGGTGTCCCCCCTCATTTTGGGGTTGCAAAGAACCTGTGTGAACCTGCATGAACCTGCACGAACCTGCGTGAACCTATGTGAACCTCTGTGAACGTGTGTGAACCTGTGTGAATCTGCGTGAACCTGCGTGAACCTGTGTGAACCTTTCTGAACCTGCGTGACGCTGTGTGAACCTGCGTGAACTTGTGTGAACCTTTCTGAACCTATGCGAACCTCTGTGAACATACGTGAACCTGCGTGAACCTTTCCGAACCTGCATGAACCCGTGTGAACCTGCGTGAACTTGTGTGAACCTTTCTGGAACCTATGTGAACCTGTGTGAACCTCTGAACATGCATGAACCTGTGTGAACCTGCGTGAACCTCTGTGAACATGCATGAACCTGTGTGAACCTGCGTGAACCTCTGTGAACATGCATGAACCTGTGTGAACCTGCATGAACCTTTCTGAACCTGTGTGAACCTGTGTGAACATGCGTGAACCTGTGTGAACCTGCGTGAACCTGTGTGAACCTGTATGAACCTGTGTGAACCTTTCTGAACCAGTGTGAACCTGCGTGAACCTGCATGAACCTGTGTGAACCTGTGTGAACATGCGTGAACCTGTGTGAACCTGTATGAACCTGTGTGAACCTTTCTGAACCAGTGTGAACCTGCGTGAACCTGCATGAACCTGTGTGAACCTGCATGAACCTGTGTGAACCTGTTTGAACCTGTGTGAACCTGCACGAACCTGTGTGAACCTTTCTGAACCAGTGTGAACCTGTGTGATCCTGCATGAACCTGCGTGAACCTGCGTGAACCTGCGTGAACCTGTTTGAACCTGTGTGAACCTGCACGAACCTGTGTGAAGTGCTTCAGAGATACCCATAGGCGTTTGTTTTCCTCTGTGGGAAGATTTCAGGCCTGCAGCTGTTAATGTTGGGTTTCCAGGTCCTTTGAATTCTCTGTCCTTTCTGGTGTCACAGTTGCTCAGCAGTTGCTGGTTTGCCTGGCTCCACTGCATGCCCTGAGTGGGGATGTCGTGTTCATGCCTCGGTCCCAAGCTCTGAGCACTGAGTCTTTGTGGTCTCTGTGCTCACTCCAGAGGGGCCAGCTTTCCTAGACGTGCTCAGTTGGTGTGTGATTGTACATTGCAAGTAAGAATCTGGCTGGGTGCAGTGGCTCACACCTGTAATCCCAGCAATGTGGGAGGCCGAGGTGGGTGGATCACCTGAGGTTGGGTGTTTTGAGACCAGCCTGGCCAACATGATAAAACCCCATCTCTATGAAAAATAAAACAATTATCCAGGCATGGTGCATGCCTGTAGTCCCAGCTACTCAGGAGGCTAGGGAGAAGAGTTGCTTGAACCTGGGAGGCCGAGGTTGCAGTGAGCTAAGATTGTGTCACTGTACTCCAGCCTGGGGAACGGGGTGAGACTGTGTCTCTCACACACACACAGACACAGGGCCGGTGCAGTGGCTCCCACCTCTAATCCCAGAACTTTGGGAGGCCGAGGCAGGCTGATAACGAGGTTAGGAGTTCGGAACCAGCCTGGCCAGCATGGTGAAACCCTGTCTCTACTAAACATACAAAAAAGTTAATTGGGCGTGGTGACGGGTGCCTGTAATCCCAGTTACTCAGGAGGGAGGCAGGAGAATTGCTTGAACTGGGGAGGCGGAGGTTCCAGTGAGCCAAGATCACGCCAGGGTGACAGGGCGAGACTCTGTCTCAAAAAAAAAAAAAAAAAGTAATACCTGATCATTCTGCTTGTGGAATTTCCAGTTTCCTACTAGAAACTCTTCTCTGAGACATTTCATTATGTGATCTATGTAAATTTTTGGCACAGAAAGTAAATATCTTAATGCAGTGGTTCTCAATCCTAACTGAATATGAGAAAAATCTTGCAAGCTTTCAGTAAAAATTCTTGGTCAGATGCTGTGGTTCATGCCTGTAATCCTAGCACTTTGGGAGGCTGAGGCAGGCAGATCGCTTGGGCCCAGGCATTCAAGACCAGCCTGACAACATGGCGAAACCTTGTCTCTACTAAAAATTACAAAAGTTAGCTGGGCGCTTGGTGGCACTCACCTGTGGTCCCAGCTACTCGAGAGGCTGAGGTGGGAGGATCACCAGAACCCAGGGCGGTCCAGACTGCACATAAGCCATGATCGTGCTGTTGTACTCCAGCCTGGGCTACAGTCAGATCCTGTCCCCTGCAACCCCACTCCCAAAAAGAAAAAATTGTTGCACAGGCCACACTCCTGTCCAGTTAAACCAGAATCTCTGCTTTAACCAAAATCACTTGTTTGTCACTATGGGTCACTCAGTGACTGGCAGTTTGCTGCCACCAGACTACCTGCCCCCCGCCCCCCCGCCCCGCCCCGCTTATCACGTGGTGGCGTTCAGCACATCTGGGGAATTTTTTTAAATAGGATTTGCTTCTAACTTACTCATTGTGTCGTCCAACCAGATGTTCTCTTTGTTACTAAGAAAGGACACTCGGTCGGGTGCAGTGGCTCACACCTGTAATCCCAGCACTTTGGGAGGCCAAAGTGGGTGGATTGCTTGAGTCCAGCAGTTTGAGACCAGCCTGGGCGATATGGTGAAACCCCATCTCTACCAAAAAAAAAAAAAAAAACACACACACCCACAAAGATTAGCCAGTCATGGTGGCTCATGCTTGGGGTGGTCAAGGCAGGAGGACTGCCTGAACTTGGGAGGTTGAGGTTGCTGTGATCCATGATTGTACCACTGCACTCCAGCCTAGGCGACAGAGCGAGACACTGTCTCAAAAAAAAAAAAAAAGAAGGGATAGAAGGGATGCTTCCCACATCTAAGAAGGTTGATCAACATTTTGGTAATCGTATTCTGCCTGTTCGTATGCAACTTCAGTTTCCACATGCAAATTTAATTTTGAGGCGTTCTTCAGAATGACTTCTGCATGTCTGTGTCAACAGAGTTCAGTTCCTCAAAATGAGAAAAGTGTTCATGGGCCTTTAAGGCGACAGTTCTTAGTCTGGTTGAAAATAATGGGTCACATTTCTGTTTTTTAACCTTTTTATAATGTAACCTTTTCTATCTTTTTCTAAAAGATAGAAAATTGTAAAAATAATGGAAATTTTATGGAAAAGTGTAGTTAAATAAATTATCTATAGTTTTACATAGCCGGGGTAGTACCTCATGTTTATTCTGATATGTTTTGTTTCCAAATTTTTTTTTCTGTGTGTGGCATATGATTTTTAAATACAATATCACATCCTACCATGTGTTCATTTATTTACTGATGGATTTTCAATGTCTTTTTAGTCCCTTTTTTGCCATCTTAACCACTTTTAGGTGTGCAGTTCAGTAGTATGTTTGCATTGCGTATACTTTTATCTTTCTAACAAACCTAGCATTATCTTATGAACATGTCATTTTATTAAGTGTTATTCAAAAATTCGGCTTCTCAGTGTCTGCAGCCTGTAGCCCTGTGATTGCAGCAGGCCTTTGCTTTGGGCTCTGAGGGTATCTCAGCCTTGCGGTATGGTAGCTATGCGGTGAGCATCCTGGGGCTTGAAGCATCCCACCCGTGCCTGTTTGCAGGGCAGCCTCTGCAGCAGAGTTGCTGACTCGCAGGGTGTGGGGGTCCATTTGCTGCGAGCAAGTCGTCCTGATGCAGCCCCACCAGTGGGACTGAGCCGTCAGCCCCTCTCCCTGCGAGACGTTTCTCACCTCCCGCCTTCTGCTCTCCTGCCCTTGCTGGCCCTGTGCCTCCATCACTCTTGTCCTGACACCACTGCCTCCTTCCTTCTCCTGCCCTCTAAATTCCAGCAACACGTGGTGCCGTCTGTCTACCCGGCCTCTCCCTCACAGAGCTGCACTGACTTCAGCTGGACTCTGTCTTTTCACCATCCTCTTACCTGAATGTGGAGACCCTGGGCTGGCTGTTTGGGGGAGTTTTCCCCCCAAGACCTTTATTTCCTCCTTTGGTGTCAGGGACATCTTGTCCAAACTGCAGGGAGCACTCCCTCCAGGGGCTGTGTGGCGGGAGAGCAAGGCAGGAGAGTGTCTGGGAAGCGCCAAGAGCAGTGATGACTGGTGACGTCAGGGCTTCCTCCTCGAGGCTCAGGATGGGTGCGGGAGCCTTCTCCTCGAGGCTCAGGATGGGTGCGTGAAGCGCCATGAGCAGTGATGACTGGTGACGTCAGGGCCTTCTCCTCGAGGCTCAGGATGGGTGCGGGACTCGGGCTGTTTTCCACCTGTGGGTGCTCAGGCTCTGCTTGCGTTTCCTGCTTGTTTGCTGCCTTCCTGCACATGGTCCTGTGTTCCAGGGCTGGGCACTGGGGATGTGGCAAGGGAGTCCCATGGTCAGCTGGTGAGATGAGTCCCATGGCAGAGAGGGGCTCTGCAGGCACCCAGCAAGGCCACCCAGGACCAGCTGGCATGTGAGGGCTGGCCTGCCCGGGTCAGACCACCTTGGTTCTGGCTCATAGTGGGCTGCTGCCCAAATGAGTTAATGAAGGATGCTGAACTGGTGGTCTCAGGTGTCTTGGAAAAAGGTAAAAAGGTGGGTGCTTTCCACAGTCGCATGTGGTAAAAAGCAGTCGCATGTGGGTCAGTCAACCCCAAGAGTGGTGGAAGCTGGTAAAGTCTTCCCCCAGGCCAGGTGAGGGCCGGTGTCCAGACCATGCATCTTCTGAGCAGCTGTCATTTGATGTTCCAAGGTATTTGGGATTCTTTGACCTGTATCTGCAAACACAGCTGTGGGCTCTTAGCTCTTTGAGTCCCCTTGGTTCAGTGGAGTGTGGGTGTCGTCCCTTAGGACACAATACTGAGGCCTGTGGGCTCCACCAGGGCAAGCAGGGGATGAGAATTCTGCTTTTTTGGTTCTGCATGTCCCTCCCCCTTTTTGGAGGGTGGTGATGGTGATGGTAGAAAGGAAAAATCTCAATGTATGATTACTCGTGTATTGGACAAAGTATATTTAGACTCATCCTCTTACCTGAACATAGAGACCCTGGGCTACAGAGACCCGTCTGGGGAAGGGTCTTGTGCAAAGAAAATAAACAAGGCATCTTCCTCTCTTTTCTTAAGTCCGGTGTGGCGGTTGAGCAGTAGCAGAGACAGGGAAAGTGACCAGGGCCATCTGGGGTTATTCTTGGATTTTCTTGTTCTGTCATGACCAAGGGCAAAAGGAATTGTTTGAAAGGTAGACCGTGTGTCTGGGTTTACTCCTGAGTGTAATCAGGGGATGTCTTTTTAACACAAGAACATTGCAAAGGATATTAGCCTTTCTTGTGATGTTAGCAAGCCTGGACCTCCCAGGGGGATGTGTTTGTGAAGGCAGTTTAATAGTATTGAAAGAGTTTGGGTCTTGGAGACTTTGAGCATGCTTGTTCATGCCTGTCTTTGAGCCTCGGTTTCTCGTCAGTATGGTAGGTGACTCTGAGGATTTGCCTTGAAGTGTCCTCTTGTAAGAGCATCGACAGATACCAGCATGTGGTGGGTGCTTGGGAAATGGTAGCTACTTGTTTGCTTGATTGTTTGGGGGAATGCACTAATGTGAGGCTTCAGAACAGTGCTGGCCAGCATGGTAACCACTGGTCACATGTGACTAGTTAAATTTAAATTAAATGAATGAAGTAAAAGTAAGTTTTCAGTTCCTCCATCATGCTTTCTACATTTTTATTTTTTTCTTTTGTTTTGTGGCAGGGTCTCTGTCATTCAGGCTGGAGGGCAGTGGTGTGAATTCTGCTCACTGCAACCTCCACCTCCTGGGCCCAAGCAGGTCTCCCATCTCAGCCTCCTGAGTAGCTGGAACTACGGGTGCACACCACTATGCCTGGATAATTTTTGTATTTTTTGTAGAGATAGGGGTTTTGTCATGTTGCCCAGGCTGGTCTCGAACTCCTGGGCTCAAGCAATCTGCTCACCTTGGTCTCCCAAAGTGCTGGGATTACAGATGTGAGCCACTGCGCCCGGCCTGTGCTTTCACATTTTTGTTACTCATTGTTATGGAACATTTTCCATCATCACAGAACGTTCTATTGGACAGGGCAGCTCTAGGGTGACAGTTGGATAATAGGCAAAGGAAATTATTAAATGGAACTCTGCCATTTGAGCCCCACTTCCATTTGGGCCAGCGTTTTCTGATAACTTAATTTGTCTTTGAAGCATGGAAATAATTTAGACTTGACGATGAGAAAACAGCTTTTGCTGTTGTTTGCTAGAAGATATTCTGATGTTCCTTTGTTTGTTTGTTTGTGTTCTGTGATTATAGCATTTAAGCCAAAACAATGTCTGTTCTCTTTTTGTCTCCAGTGATGGATGTAACAGATATAATAAATGGAAAAGTAGACGACGAAGATAAGCAGCATTTCATTCCCTTTCAGCCGTAAGTATGGAGCAATTCAAGTACTTAGCCAGATATAATATGGAAAACATAGGCTTGTAATAATTATCTTTATAATTAAATAGATAAACCTAAGTAAGAATGGATTATTTTATAATTATGAAAAACCTCTTTGGTCACTGCTGTAGTACATGGAATTTTTTTGTAGCCGTAAGAATCCTGGGTCAAAGTTTGTTTATGGTCCTGGAAGTAGAAGATTTTACCTGCCTGATCATGTAGAAGGCACAGAATTACAACTCTGCTCTGAGCCTGAACGTTTCTTTACATAATTGATTTATTCTAGTAGCTATTTGTAGTTTCAAAGCACAATACTTCCAAATTCATCATAGAAGGTTGCTGTGTTTAAAATAGAAAACCAAACAAATTCAAATTATGATGAATTATTTTAAAGCAGGAAATAATGCTTTAAAGCATAGAATCATGCTGCTGATTTTTGTTTCTTGGTTTTTGCTTAGAGTGGAGCATATCTGTGCTCGTTTTTCGGCTTTCTCTAGTTCTGACTTGAAGTCTTTAAAGAGGCACGGAAGCTGAGAAAAAGCTCTTGGAGGAGATTCATTAAATTGATTATCTGATTTGTGGGTAGAACCCGGGGAACTGGTGGAAAGAATTGGCATTTATTTCCCTCGTGTGGAAGCAAGAGTGTACCCAGATGATGGTCGTTGGCCACTTAAGGGCACTTCTGCTCCTCACAGAGGAGGAGAGAAAAGGAATCCAAACGGTTGAGGTGAATTGTAAGAGACGGCTTCCTCCTGGGTGTGGGGTTGGGGGGCGATGTTAGGGGTGAATGTGTGGTACGGGCGGCCCCCTGCCATAGTGCTCTGCAGTTTTACTTTTCCCTCATTTCTCTTCTTAATTGATTTCAGACTTGAAACTCATTTTTAGATTTTAGAAATGTTACTGTTTTCAGCTGTTGGCTGAAGGGTTTCGGAGGCGGGTAGTAATTGGGTGGCTGAAGGAGTCCTGTCCTTGGGGGTCCTGAGATGTGAGGTTGGCTTCCCTCTGCCCCATGCATCCTTGGTGATGGACCACCGCACTCAACCCCACCCGACTCCTCTGGGACTTGGGTGCCACTGGCGAGGACAGGAGGAGTATGACTTTCTTTGCAGGCAGGCGATCTGGTCAGGTGGCACCCTAAAGCTTTTTGTACAGCTCAGTAGGAGATTTTGCTGTCTTCCTGTCATAAGAATAACAGCAAACCCTGTGTTGTTGAACTGGGAGTCAGGGTTAAGTTATATGTGTCTCACCATGCACCACTAGAGGCAGTGGTGCTTAAATGCTTTAGGTTTACTCTCCTGTTTGCTCTTTGTGGCTTAAATGCTTTAGGTTTACTCTCCTGTCCAGTGTGGTAACCAGTAGCTCCATGTGGCTATTTAAAATACTTAAAATGAGCTGGGCACAGTGGCTCATGCCTGTAATCCTAGCACTTTGGGAGGTTGAGGCAGGAAGATCACCTGAGGGTCAGGAGTTCGAGACCAGCCTGGCCAACATGGTGAAACCCCATAACTACTAAAAATACAAAAATTAGCCGGGCGTGGTGGCAGGCGTCTGTAATCCCAGCTACTTGGGAGACTGAGGCAGGAGAATCGCTTGAACCCGGGAGGCAGAGGTTGCAATGAGCCGAGATCACGCCACTGCACTCCAGCCTGGGTGACAGAGGGAGATTCCATCTCAAAAATAATAATAATAATTAGAATGAAGTAGCATTAAACATTGAGTTCTTCGGTCACATTGGTCCTGTTTCAAGTGTTCAGCAGGAGAGGAGGCCAGCGGCACCATCCTGGGCCGTACGTACACAGCACGTCTCCACCACTGCAGAAAGCTTTGCTGGATAATGTTGTTTTGTAGTCCCACCCAGTGAGGAGAGTTTATAAAAGGAACGCAGTGCTGCAGAATCTGGAAGTTTCCTTAGCAAACAAGGGGAACAGTATTGTGGAACATGGGCTGATATTGAGGTCATAAATAAAATACACCTTTGTAAAATTATAATATTAAATTGCCTCATTCTCTCATGAGAAATAATGCAGCCCCCTACTGTTTTGAATGCTGTATTATATATTAGACCTCAGAGGTTTTTGATGCCCAGATGTACCACTAAGTTGAAATTACCTGTTGCCTGCTAGTGTCCTCTGTGAAAAGTCAAGAAAAAAAAAAAAAAAGGAAAGAAAAATCCCAAAGCAAACAAACCCAACTTGAGGGATTGTTTGAAAAGTTAGGGAGGTTATTAGTTTTAGATTCACTGATTTTCACAGAACATGTTATGAGTTGTTTGAGATTGCCTGTGCTTTGCTGCCATCTTTTTCTATCTTGTAGTGGAATGTCCACTTGGAAAATATATTATTCCATGTGTACCTCTTATGTAATTTGTGACTCCGTGCTCCATTAAAGGAAGACTAATAGATGAATATTTGCAGTGTTAGAAACAAAAGAACAGCATGATTTTTAATAGCAAAATAAGCAATGAAACCAGTTCTTTGGGAAATGTCATGCTAATGAAACCGTTTTTTGCTCCATTAAAACTGATTTATTATCTCACAGGGTTGGTTTTAGGGAAGGAAGCACATTGCACATCTCCCTTCCTCCCTGTCTTTTTTAACTTGGTGAAGTAAATGACAACAGTCTTCAGTTCCCTTGAGTCTTGTGGTTCCAGTGATGGATAGCACTGTCCTTGTTCCCAGGATTGATTTTAAACATTATGGCCATGCTGTCTATTTTCTTGCTCATTTCATAGCGCACTTCGCTGTGCTACATGGTATTTCTATTTGGGCATATGCTACCTGTTTTTAGCTAGTCTCTCGTACAGCACAGCATCTGTAACAGGCTCCTGATTCACGGGCCCTGAAAATATGGGTGGTCTGCGTTCATAATGGCGCCACACATGGGAATAGGTCGTGGTATTCTCCAAACACAGTGCCATTCTTCTCACATGTAGTCATTTTAGGGTCTATTGTGTACATAGTCCAAGAGAGTAGAGTAGAAAGCCTTTGCAAGCAGTTAGGTTCCAGGGATTTTTTTTTTTTTTTAATCTCGATTTTGCGTTTCCCTTTAGATCATCTGCCCCTTGACCTATGCTATGTTCAGAATTATTGAAATTGGAGGAATGGCCATAAACATTTTTTGGGATTAAATGCCTTTCACCCATGTGGCTTTCAGACAAGCTCCTTTTTTTAAACACAAGCGTCTGATGGAGACGCAGTGGAGGCCTGGTGCACGTTTATTTCCTGGGGAGAGGGTTGCCCTCGTTTGCTCTATTCCCTCTCATGGTTCAGCATTTTCCTGATCAATGCTTTTCCCTGTTTCTCTTGTCACCTCTCCCATCCTTTGTCGTACGTTGATTCATGATGCCTCCCTCTCACACTCGGTGACGATGATCTCTTATGTTCCCTTGTTACCGTGACCCATGGGTCTCTGTGCCCCTTTGTCTCCTGTGGTCTTGGTCGTCCCGTGCCCTCCAGGCTCGCGTTGGACGACGCCATTCGACACAAGCCGCTGAACATGTCATCCCGTTTTTCACCCAGGGTGGCAGGGGAGAATGACTTCCTTCAGACTGTTATAAACAAAGTCATCGCTGCCAAAGAAGTCAACCACAAGGGGCAGGGTACGTATTTTCCTATTTTGTTTCCATCAGTGTGTATTTGCATGCGTTTGGGACAGTGCTGTCTGGGTTACGTTTTAGTTTGATGTTGATCCTGATGGTGTGAAGATGGTGGCGGTGACAGTGGTCCTGGTGGAGAATGTGTGTGACGGTCGCCCCCATGTACGGTGCATGACGGTTTTCTGGCCCATCACCTTTGTGAACATTGCTGAGAGCCCGCTCCTGGATGGAGAGTGGGGTTGGATTAGATGTTCAGAGGAACTTGCAGGCGGTAGGCGTAACTCCCCTCTGCCCATGTTGTGTGCTAATTACTGCCTGTTCTGGGGCTCCCCTGCTGGTCCCCCTAAGAAAGTGACTTCATTTGTGCAGACTTGCTCCCCTGAGTTCTGTCATTTAAGTGATTTCTCCTCCCCTACCCCCGCACCTCACACTCACCGTTTTTAATCCTGTACTGACACGTTCCCGAGCAGCTGACCTGCTGCTGGCAGAAGGAATGAATCAATCACCTCGGGCTGGTGACAGTTGGCACTTGGCTGGCCAGGAGGGCTGCCAGGAAACAACTGTGACTGAGGCCCCGCCTCCAGCCCAAGGGGAAGTCACCTTCAGAACTTGACCGTCTCACTCCCTGATCCGTGCAGACTGCCCGTAAACGCAGTAGAGCTTAGGCGAACAGACCTGCTTCATCGTCCAGCTACCTTATGTCACTAGACTTTTAAAAAACAATTACCTTGATTCATTTCCCACTGTTCTAAAGGAGAATGTGAATGGAGCCTGAAGAATGTTATAGAGAATGAGCCTTCCTAGGGCTCTGCAGGGACCTCCAGCTTTCCTCTGGCGTGAACTACCCCCGTCTCTGGCAAACAGTAGCAGGACAAAAACCCCAACCCAGAACATTAATGAGATGCGGCCTCTGCAGACAGAGCAATTTTCAGCTGACCCAGGACCCATCTTCTCCTGAATTAACAGCCCTCCCTATTTGCACTTTAATTGAAAACCATAGGGAGGTCCAATTAGGGTTGTTTAGATTGGAGTCACTCTCCGGCTGGGGACACCATGCAAAGGTTGTCAGCCGATTCTTCAGTGCTTCGAGCTGGGGCCGCCCTGGGATCTCCAGTTTCTTTTGCAGTCATCAGAGTTTTGATAAACTTTTATTAGAGTCATTCAGGGAGAGTGGAGTTTGGTGTCAGGCCAGCAGGAAATCGCTGGGAAAGAGGACCCGAAGCCTGCCGCTGCCAGGCTCACTGGTGTGTGGCCAAGATCTTTGAAGCCGGAGAACCTTGGGCTGATGCCCGGGGGTCCAGTTCCTTCAGCTTCTGGGAGGAGTGGGCATTTCCAAGTCACAGTGAGAACCGAGGGACAAGAACAGTGATAGGGGATCACAGGTGACTTCCTGAATCAGAATGGCCTTAGGCAACATGACTAGTGCTTGTTTACCTTGAACCTGAATTTTCTCCAGGGCCCACTGGTGGGTGGAATTCAGGCCAGAGGTGAGCAATGTGGCCAGCGAGTGCAGCCGCACAGATGGGCTGCCGGGACTGCAGGGCGCTGCCCACTGGAGCTCATTTTATCACCAGCAGCCCAGGCTTAACCTGATCCTTGCTTGTCTGTCAAGTGACTGTTAGCGGTCCCAGGAGTGGAAGGGACATGGAGGAGATACTCATCTTCAGAGAGAGCTGCTGGATTTTTTACCCCTGTGTCCACATGCGCCTCCTGTCTCTTGAGCTTACTACTTGGCCTTGGCCAATTTTTGGTTTGTGCCAACATGTTTCCTCTTTACAATAGACAAAATCCTGAATATTTAATCCAAATTATTCTGAACCTAGAGGTGTAGGACATTTTATGTGGACAGTGAGTTCATGAAGACTCCAGACATCTGGTTCTATTGTTTGAGATAGAATGTATGCTAATCCTCTTTGTTTTTAGTTATTCTGGGTAAGCAAATGTCAACGCCAAATGCACTTTTTTTCTCCTGTGAGAAAGCATTCAAAACACAGGGTAATCAGGAACATTTAATTTCCATTTTTAAAGTGTGTGGTAATAAATTTAATTGTGTCACTAATGCATTAGTTTATGTATTAAGATATTTGAGCAGGCTGGCGTTTCTGAGAAAGGGTTTGAAATGCAGGATTTCTAATATTAAATGTTAGGTGTTCCATCCTCATGTCTTAACCTTTGACCTCTGTGAATGACCTCACCACATCCTGCAGTCCTTCAAAGAGCATCTTTCTGTTAGATTTATTTTGTGGACATTCATTCTCCAGGGAGGCTTTTGGACTCAGGCTCCTGAGATTTGAGAAACTCTTAGCTGCATCCTGGTGTCCAGGGAAGACCAGCTCCCCGTCAGCCACGGTGCCGATTCCTCAGGCCCTTCTGTCAGGGTCTGGGCTTTGGTTTGCTGTCCTGGAGGCCAGGGCCAGGGCTTAGGGTGAGGAAGTGCCTGGCCCTTTGCAGATCTGTCTGCTTACCTATTCTGCAGGTCTGGAGCTGCTGTTAGCTCAGGGTGCTTTTGTGTGAATTAGAAAAAGGGGCCTCATCGGCTGGGCGCGGTGGCTCACGCCCGTAATCCCAGCACTTTGGGAGCCCAAGGCGGGCGGATCACAAGGTCAGGAGATCGAGACCATCCTGGCTAACACGGTGAAACCCCGTCTCTACTAAAAATACAAAAAAATTAGCCAGGCGTGGTGGCAGGCACCTGTAGTCCCAGCTACTCAGGCGGCTGAGGCAGGAGAATGGCATGAACCCGGGAGGCGGAGCTTGTAGTGAGCCGACATGGCGCCACTGCACTCTAGCCTGGGCAACAGAGTGAGACTCTGTCTCAAAAAAAAAAGAAAAAAAAAGAAAAAGGGGCCTCATCAACTGGGTGAGTAGGGAGATAGTGCCAGGGCCTGTGGCTTGGTGAGCGAGTAGAGGCACGATTTAGCTCCCACTTGCCTTTTGTGGTCAGTTGTCTAGTGAAATGCACATTCTGGGCAGTGGTACATGTGCTCCTGTCTGGGTGCCATCCCTGATACCTCTTTGGGGACCGCTTTCTATTGGTGGTTCTTCCTTCCTTCAAACTGTCCCTCCCACGATCTGGAATTTCATGTCTTAAAAAGAAAGGAAAAAGAAAAAAGTATATTAAACAAAAAGGAAAGAAAAGAAACAGCAAGAAACAGTCCTGCCCTGAGTAATGCATCTGTCTCTGTGTATGTGGACTTTCTGGTCTTCCTTTCTCATTCATCTTTGCCTTTCTGTGTCCCAGCATCGGCCCTCTCCCTGAGCGCGCCCGCCCTCGTCTCCCACCAGGAGCCCTGTGGCTGCATGGGCATCCTCCCGTCCCAGTTTCCTGTTTGCCCTGTTACCTCTGACATCTCTGTCCCCTTGTGAGCTCTCAGAGTGGACCCTTCTGCCTCTCTTCGGGACTCTTCTTTCCTTCCCCACTATGGGTGCTTGCCTTTCAGGCAGCTCTGCCTGGAGCCAGTCTTCCTGTTCCAAGGAATGGTACCCCTGGGGCTTGCTAGTGGTTGTGCCTGCAAGGGGCACCGTCTCTGTAAGCTGTGCCTCCTCCTACCCCAACTCCCTGTGGTTCTGCTGGTTTGACTTCCACGCTGGTCCCCTTTCCCACCCTCCATAGTGGCGTTCACATCCTGGCAGCCAGCTGGGTTCATGCGGTGGCCGCCCTGCTGCCATTGCATCCTCACGGTGCTCTGTACTCCTGCCTACCCATTCCCTGTTAGCCACAGGGTGTCAGGTCAGAGCCTGACTCTTGTTCCTGAGCCCCTCTCTGGATGCCCCCCATCCTTCGGATAGACGACAGTCCCTGCCACCCCAGGCCCCCCACTGTCTTCCCATTGCATCTGGGGGCTCCACCTCCCTGGGGTGGGGACAGGTCTGCAGTTCTCTTGCTTCCTGCAGGTCTCAGCCCCGACGTCCCTTGCTCTGTGACCCTTGAGACTGTGGTCCCAGGATGCCTTGCAGTGTGCTCAGGACTTCTCCCATGAGAACTTTGCAGTTGCATATTTCTCTAAGAGACTGTGGAGTTAGCGTCTGACCGTTGGCAGTGGAAGCTAAACCCCTGGCACGGGAGGTCGTGAGGGTCTGCCCTATGTCTGCAGTAGGTGCAGTGCCCTGTATTTGCATAGCACATAGTAGGTGCTCAGTAGCTACTTTTGAATAAATTAGAGGGACTCACTAGATAGCAAGAGGAAAGAGGGTTTCACCAGCTGGCAAAGAGCAAAACATCATCAGTGACTTTTGACTTCTCAGCTCCAAGTAATGTAAATCTGTACAAAGGAGAACACCGTTTCCAGGATAGTGGATATAGGAGTGGGCAGCCAGAGGACAGGGCGTGAGGTGCGGGACTGAATCAAGAAGAGCTGCTCCCGTCAGGAGCGTCGGGAGCAGCCTGAGGTGCCAGCACTGCTGACGGGCTGTCAGTTATCTCCCAGTGCTGCCCAGTAGGCAGGCTGCTGGCGGACAGGCCTGCGACTGTCTCAGTTCCTTCCACCCAGGGCAGGGCGCTGAGCTGAGGGTGATGGAGGGTGGGTCCTGCTCTCGAGGCATCTGGAGAGGGGACAGCTGCACACACACACAGAGACAGATACCGACACATGCACACACACAGATACAACACACACGCGCATGCGCGCACACACACACACACACACACAGATACATCACAAACACAGATACACATACACAGATACACCACACACACACATGCAGATACATCGCAAACATACACATACACCGATACACCACATAGACACACACACACACACTCAGATACATCACAAACACTGATACACATACACAGATACACCACACACACACACACGCACAGATACATCACAAACAGATACACATACAGATACACCACATACACACACAGATACATGACAAACACAGATACACATACACAGATACACCACACACACACACACGCGCGCACAGATACATCACAAACATACACATACAGATACACCACATACACACACACACAGATACATGACACACACACACACTCAGATACATCACAAACACAGATACACATACACAGATACACCACATACACACACACACACACACACACAGATACATCACAAAGACAGATACACATACACAGATACACCACACAGAAACACAGATACACATACACAAATACACCACACACGCACACAGATATAGACACCACAAACACACACATGCACATACACAAACATACACAGATACAGACAACTCAAACACATACACACAGTTACAGACACCATAAACACAGACACACACACACCAGATACAGACACCACAAACACACACACAGATACACCACACAGATACACATACACAGATACACCACACACACACACACACACACAGATATAGACACCACAAACACACACATGCACATACACAAACATACACAGATACAGACACCACAAACACATACACACACACAGTTACAGACACCATAAACACAGACACACACACCAGATGCAGACACCACAAACACATACACACAGTTACAGACACCATAAACACAGATACACACACACACCAGATACAGACACCACAAACACACAGATACACCAGAAACACAGACACACAGATATACTTATAGACACACACACACCCACGGATATAGACACAGACACGCACACAGACATACATGCCCTCACACACAGATACAGATATACACATAGACACAGCTACAGACACAGACAGATACATACGGACACAGATACAGAAACACAGGTAGACACAGATTTAGCCACACACATAAACACTTACACATAGGCATAGATACACAGAGCCACACACACAAACACACACAGACACACATGGGCACAGACACACATGGACACACAGACACACACACAGATACACACAGACACACAGAGACTCACACACACACACACACACACACACACGCGCGCACAGTCACAGGCATGCATGCCCATGCTAGTAGCAGAAGTGAGGACAGAGGCTTTGATGTTCTGAGGGGCAGATGAGGCCCTACCGAGCTGAGTGGGGGGAAGCAAGCAGGCGGCGCCGCCGAGGCCTCAGGGATACAGGGCCCCCGTGTGCCAGCCCCTTCCCGTGGGGGGAGAAATGCCGTCACAGAAGATAGCTCAGGCCGACCCCTGCCTGCCCCTGCCTTTGACTTGTTGGAAGTGTCTGGCTTGTTTCCTCGTACTGTTGCCTCCTGTTTGATTGCTACTCAGTATTTATATAAACACACAGTTTTTATATAAACCACAGTTCATCAGCCTTGCAGGGAGGAAGAGCCCGCACACACGCCCTTACACATAGACCCCACCAGGTTCACTGCGCTCTCCCCAGGACACCCCTGGCATCTAGGTTTAGAGGCTTTGAAAGTCTTCATTTTTCTCTTGGAGAAAGGAGCCGAGAGCCGCTGGAGCTTTGTTCTCTTTTGCTGTGTCGCTGTGGTACAGAGGGCCTGGCTCCACGGGCTGCATCGGTCCTGGCTGGGGAGGGCTGTCCTGCTGTTGGCCCTGCAGCCTAGTGCTCCTCTGCTCGCCCAGGTTGTGTGATGCTGCTTAGCTACTTGCAACTGTGATGGGTTCTCAAAACTGTGAATTCACCTCCAGAATCCTCCCCTGCCTTTGTCTTTCCTGGGAGATTAGAAAATGACAGACTTCTCAGCCCCCTCCCGGGAAAAGGCGGCCTGCTGATTTATCTGAAAGGTGTACCCGCTCAAAAGAGGCATTGGTCCTTGGCAGTGCCCAGCAGCACAGCGGGTGCACAGCAGCTGCTGATGTGCGTTCAGCTGCCTGTGAGTCACCCTAGGGCAGGGCTGGCATCCCAGCTTGTCGGATGCATGGAGTCCCCACGAAGGGCACCTTTTTTGCCTTGCCCCTCTCTTTCTCATATACCCATGTTTTTTCTCGAGATGTTGAATTGTGAATGAAAAGTCTCTTGTTCATTGAAATTGGTTTCGTGAAAACTTCTGAAAATGCATAGGATACAATGTGACTTAACAGCATCCGTTGTTTTTCCAGGTTTGTGGGTAACATTGAAATTACTTCCTGGAGATATCCATCAGATCCGAAAAGAGTTTCCGCATTTAGTGGACAGGACCACAGCTGTGGCTCGAAAAACAGGGTTTCCGGAGATAATCATGCCTGGTAAGAACTGGCTCATCCAGGGCTTCTGAGCATGGCGTGGGGGTAGCCGGCCACAGAGAATGACGTGTGGGCCGCATCATGTATGAGCTCTGGCAAGGAAAGGGCTCAGCTCCTGGCAGGTGACCCTCTAAGCCCCAGCATGGTTATAGATCATGGGGCTGTGACCGGAGTGGTAGAATATGCTCCCTGGCCCCCTGTACCCCTGGACGGATCAGCTCTCCCCAGCTGCAAGGGTTGTGTGAGGGGGACGTGGGCACCCAGTGAATGTCTGGATAGACATCAGGTCGAAAGAAGGAAAGAGGTCAGAAAGGGAACTGCCCGATGTGAAGCCCACCTAAGCACAAATGTCAGGGTTGGATGGTTGCTGAATGGCAATGTCTGTACCTTTACCTGCTCACCTGGTGTACGTTATACTGGCATTGCCCCGTGAATTCTAAGTCATGAATTCTAAACTGACCAAACCAAGAACAGGATTTCCGTGTTAACTCATATTTACATAATACATTTCAGTTTCCAAATAGTGTTAATAATAATCTGATTTGATCATCAAGAGATCTTTGGAAGCATGTTGATTTGTATCCTTTATATCCGTGTGATACTTTCTGGTTTGCAAGTAATGCTTACGTGGCTTGGCCAGGCGTAGTGGCTCATGCCTGTAATCCTAGCACTTTGGGAGGCTGAGGCGGGGGGATCACTTGAGCTCAGGAGTTCAAGACCAGACTGGGGAACATGGTGAAACCCCGTCTCGACAAAAAAATAAAATATTAGCTGGGCATGGTAGTGTGTGCCTGTCATTCCAGCTACTTAGGGGGCTGAGGTGGGAGAATCACTTGAACCTGGGTGGTAGAGGTTGCCATGAGCACAGATCATGCCACTGCACTCCAGCCTGGGTGACAGAGTGAGACCTTGTCTCAAAACAAAACTTAACTTGAACCACGTGAGGCTCTTGGAGGCCCACAAATTGGTGTTGAGTTAATTCCTATCCAGATTAAACTGTAGCCTAAAGTCGCTCAGCTGATGAGCCGTGGAAATGAGGAAAAACTACCCCACGTTCAACGTGGCCTCCTTATATAGGCCTCTGCTATATAGCTAGGAGAGTGGTGGCTATTCAGGGTGTATGCTATAGGAGTTGTTGCTTTGCTTACTTTAGCACAACTTCAAGACTCGTTCTTTCTACTCCTTTTGTCTTTCAGGGCTGTTGTGGGTCACTGAATAGTGGGTCTGGTAAATCCATATGAAAGACATCTAAATTGGTTAGGCTAGATACTAGCTAGGCTTACCTGTACAGGAAGAAAAGCATGACGTTTAGTCAATTCTGAAGCTATTGCTTGTGTGTGTCAAGTCTATATGCAGCAAATTAATTTAGGTTTATTAATGGGAGTGGACTCATTTGTATACCTATTATTTGTATTTGCATTTGAGATGCAGATTTATAAATTAGCATGAAGCGGTTGGCAATATGCATTTATCTTGGCGTCCTTAAGATGTCCTGATGTTCAAAGGGAAACTCAGAAGCTTCCAGTTCATGCCAATAGTGTTTCCCTTATGATGGATAGACTTAAAAACTAAGTCTAGGCCCGGAGTAGTACCAGGTGAGCGCCTGTAGTACCAGGTACTAGTGAGACTGTGATGGGAGGATCCCTGGAGCACAGGAGGTCAAAGCCACAGTAAGCCTTGATCACAACCACTGCACTCCAGCTTGAGTGACAGAGAGAGACCCTGTCTCAAAAAAAAAAAAGTAAGTCTAAACTTGTAGATCATCTCATGATAGATTCATAGGGAAGTGATTCAGTTGACCATTGTTCTGACAGTTTCCATGTGCTAAGTCCGGGGGTATGTATCCCATAGGAAGGGATTCTAGCTAAGGTGGGTCACCTGTGTTCTCTGATGGCTGAGTAATCACTGACCAGGCTGTGGGCACCAGAGAGAAAGAGTGTGGGCGGTTATCAGTCTGTCTGCCTGCCTTTAGCCTGCAGAACCTGTGTATCGCCCGGTTTTGTCACTGTTTCCAGGGATGCGCATCTTCTTTGGACAGTGGAGAGCCTGTCCTGTCACCCAGCGGCCTGCTCTGCTGCTTTCTCATGGCTCACTGGACTCCTGGAGTCCTTCTGAGGGATCCAGGCAGGCAATACTAAGTTTTCCTTTGAGCTGGGAAGGTAGCAGGAGTCCACTATGTCTGCTTCTAGTTCTTTCTTCCCCAGAATGTTCTGTAACCTGGGGAGGCATTTGATGAGGGTCTATGGTAATTGCCCTTCTGTGGGGTTTGCCTACTGTAAATGAGGTCTTACTTCTGAGCTGGCCCTGGAGTAACGCACTCGAGGTGTACTTGGGAGCGAGGCTGTGGGATTTTCACCCTGTCACCCAGGCTGGAGTGCAGTAGCATGATCTCAGCTCACTGCAACCTCTGCCTCCTGGTTTCAAGCAGTTCTCCTGCCTCAGCCTCCAGAGTAGCTGGGATTACAGGCACACACTACCATGCCTGGCTAATTTTTTTATTTTAGTAGAGACGGGGCTTCACTGTGTTGCCCAGGCTGGTCTCGAACTCCTGAGCTCAGGCAGTCCACCTGCCTCAGCCTCCCAAAGTGCTGGGATTACAGGGATGAGCCACTGCACCTGGCCTTGAAGTTCCCTTTTGATGATGGTGTTTGCGCCTTGATAGAATTTTTAGGCTGAGAGACCATGTAGTTTATGCCTTCCCTATCAATGAGGCTGTTTAGTGGTGCTGGTCTTAGAGGCTAACTTGTCCAAGGTCACAGAGCTAATGGGCAGCAAGTCTTGGCTGGTGGCCTTGCGCCTGCCCCTCGCCCTGTGCTCCATGCTTCTTAACTTCTCTTGCGGTCAGAATCAGCGAGCAGCAGCCGCGCCTCCTTCCGTACAACTACTGTGGCTGTGGTAGCAGCCCACTGGGATTATTATGATAATGACTTTTAAATGAAAGCTTAATTTAATAGTTGGATACATTAAAAGCCAAAATAGAGCAGTTTAAAAGAAAAAAAAAAACAACAACGAGAGCAAAAACAAGAAAGCAAGGGATCCTTGGTCTTCAGCCAGAGCGGGCATTTGCTGCGCTTGACGGAACCGCTCTTTGGCTCCGTGGGAGAGCAGGTGGTCAGGGCGTGGGAGGTGGCCAGGCAGGCAGCAGGGGAGCAGTGGCTGGGAACGAGGCTTCCTCTAAATCATGTTGCTAATGAAGCCTGTGAAGTTCTCCCAGTCGGGCCATTACCAGGGGCTTCCCATGTTCTCAGTAGGAAGAAGAGTCTTGAGCTCATTTCTTGTGTTTCCCCCCACCCGCCCCATAATTAAAAGCCCATCTCACTTTAAAATAGACAGGTCTGTTTTGTTCTTCTCTCTGTGGTCCCCATTCGGGATCCTGACAACCGCCTGCCAGAAGGGAAGAGCCATGCAGGAAGTTTCTCCCTAGACCCATGTTTCTTCCCTGATCCTAGGCTGGCGATCCTCATTCTTTTTTTCTTTCTTTCTTTCTTTTTTCTTTTTTTTTTTTTGAGACAGAGTTTTGCCCTGTTGCCGAGGCTGTAGTGCAATGATCTCGGTTCACTGCAACTTCTGCCTCCCAGGTTCAGGTGATGTTTCTGCCTCAGCCTCCTGAGTAGCTGGGATGACAGGCCTGCACCACCACGCCCAGTAGCTAGTTTTTGTATTTGTAATAGAGATGAGGGTTCACCATGTTGGCCAGGCTGGTCTTGAACTCCTGACCTCAAGTGATCCACCCACCTTGGCCTTCCAAAGGGTTGGGATTACAGGTGTGAGCCCCCACGCCTGGCCGGTCCTCATCTGATTAACTCCTGGAGTTGTGCTCTTAAGAAGAATGCATAGGAGGCAACCTCGCCAGTTATCTGGGAGTGCCAGTGGATACTGCGATATTCCTTGGCTACTGAGGACTCAGACAGCCGTAGCCAGCTGTCTAACAAGGGACAGTGGTGTGGGCTGCCATGGGTGGTGGATGCCATCAACAGTATTGGAGCCCCTCTGGTTGCTGGCTGCCTCTAGAGGGGTAGAGTGTCCTCTGCCCAGATGAGAACCAAGCAAATCATTAGAAGCTTTGAGACTTTTCCTCTTTCTAGCAAGTTTTATGATGATGAAAATTGCTCTTGTCATGTATTTAAATGGTAAGACTGTTATGTAGAAAACATTTCATAATCCTCTGATACGTATTTGTAATAGTTTATGAGGATAGGTAGACAGTCTTGCAAAACTCACAATTATACTGTGAATAATGAATTGGTTTTCAAATGTGTGATTTCTCCCCCCTCAGGTGATGTTCGAAATGATATCTATGTAACATTAGTTCAAGGAGATTTTGATAAAGGAAGCAAAACAACAGCAAAGAATGTGGAGGTCACGGTGTCGGTGTATGATGAAGACGGGAAACGATTAGAGGTATTTACTGTGGTGGGGGCTCATCTGTAGTGTTTCAGTTTTACTTGCCAAGTGCTCACCTTGGCTCTGCTACAGCATAGAAGTTGTCACAGGTGGGGCTTTGGAATTCCATTTCTTGGGATTAGCGTTGGTTCTTGCTTCCCTTTCTCCAGCTTGTCATGCAGGACCTGGGGTCCTCTGATCCTGGCAGCTGGCCTATCTCAGGGGGTCCCTGTGGTCTTTTGTTTTTGAGACCGAGTCTTGCTCTGTTGCCCAGGCTGTAGCACTATAGGTGTGTGCCAACATGCTGGGCTAATTTTTATATTTTTTAGTAGAGATGGGGTTTCACCATGTCGACCTCAAGTAATCTGCCTGCCTTGGCCTCCCAAGGCACTGGGATTACAGGCGTAAGCCACTGCGCCCGGCTGGGTCCCTGTGGTCTTGACCACTTTCGCCCAGCCTTATCATGGAGTCTCATTTGCTGTCATAAACCCAAGGCCCAAAGGTCTAGCAGTCACGCTAGAAGTACAGATACCATCATTACCATTTGAGAGATGGAGAAATGAAGGCCCTAAGAAATCAGTTAAATTGCTCAGGGTCAGAGAGCTAGCGAGAGGTAGAGCTGAGCACCTGCCCATGACAGCTGGAGGTCTGACCTCGTGCTCTACCTACCAGTGGTCACGAACATCTGCTTCCATGGCCACAGCAGCCTGCAGGGTCTACCTGGGAGATACTCAGAAGCTGTTGCCTCCTCTGATGACCAGAGGTCAAACCAGAGCTGCTGTCCCTGTGAGGTGCCTGTTTGCACCAGGGCTGGAGGACTGGGTTTTTCTGGGCCCATGGGGTTGTGCTTAAGGCTCAGTGTCGCCGAGAGAAGCATGATGTCTTTCTCTCTGGGTGAACCCTGTCCAGCATCACTGCCTGCCTTGTCTCCTGGAAACATACCTTGCCACTGGTCTTTCCGGTTGGAGTGAAGCAAACAGCGTTCATGGCTGGAGGAAGGAGAGGGGAGGGTTCCCACCTTTTAGTCTACAGTCCCTCACCCTAGACCTATGGCATGGATCAGGCAACTTCCTGCAGATCCTAATGTTGAAGTTATTAGGATTGAGGGTCTGGGGGGATGGAGGTCTGTGTCATCCCCATATGTCATAACCATCAAGATCTTTAATGTGCGAGAACAAGGGTTGGAGCTGGCCGCTGGCTTCGGGTGGATCTGTGCTTCCCTTGCTGGGAACACTTTCGTTTGTGGTGGGGTGTGTTGGTGCTCTTGGAGCGTACCTGTCCTTCCGCGTATATGTATATGGTGTCCAGCTCTATGAGGTCTTACGCGAGCTCTTTATGTTTTCTTTTAAAGCATGTGATTTTCCCGGGAGCTGGTGATGAAGCGATTTCAGAGTACAAATCTGTGATTTACTACCAAGTAAAGCAGCCACGCTGGTTTGAGACTGTTAAGGTATTACTTACATGGTCATTTTATCACATGGCACTGATGATGAAATGCTCATTTGTAACCCAAGGAAACATCCTAACATCCTCCTCAGCCCGGGAGCTGATCTAGGCAGGCAGAGTGTCTCCCAACAAAGTCATTCAAGGTTGCTAAGGAACCGCACTGGCGTTTCTTAGAATACATTTACTCTCGTCTCCTTTTGGATGTAAAAATAGGACTTTCATGGAGACGAATGACAGAGTCTTTTTAAGATAGCTATTGTCTTTCTCTTCGCGGTACTGTTTTATGTGTGGCATGCTGTCTTTACACCAAACAAAAAGACTGAGCTGCCAGCCTGTGGAGGTCATTGCTGGGGAGTCGGGTCCTGTTCTGTAGCACTGACGTGGTACATTTTCATAATGCAGCATGCTCACATCTCCACCAGGGAGTAAACACTGTCCCGCCCCCAAGAGCTTGAATATTTGAAAACCAGGCCAGGGACTGGCTCTGGAATACAGATGTTTGATGTGAGAATTAGGAACAATGTTTGCTTAGAGGCAGCACGTATTATGTCTTTTTTCTTTGAGTGTAATGTGTCAACAGGAAAGCTTTCTTGGTGCAGCTGTGGGCAGGTCACCACAGCTGTGGAAGGAGTGTAGACTCTTCCAGGTTGGGGCTAAGAAGAAAAACGGCAACTTTTTTTTTTTTTTGGAGATAGAGTCTTGCTCTGTCACCCAGGCTGGAGTGCAGTGGCGCAGTCTCGGCTCACTGCAACCTCCACTTCCTGGGTTCAAGCGATTCTCTTGCCTCAGCTTCCTGAGTATCTGGGATTACAGCCATGTACCATGGCACCTGGCTCATGTTTTTGGTATTTTTAGTAGGGATGGGGTTTCACCATGTTGGCCAGACTGGTCTCGAACTCCTGAACTCAAGTGATCTACCCTCCTCAGCCTCCCAAAGTGCTGGAATTACAGGCTGAGTCACCATGCCTGGTCAAAAAACGGCAACTTTTAGAAATAGAATCTTGGCCGGATGCAGTGGCTCACGCCTGTAATCCCGGCACTTTGGGAGGCTGAGGTGGGCAGATCACCTGAGGTCAGGAGTTCGAGGCCAGACTGACCAACATGGAAAAACCCCTTGTCTACTAAATATGCAAAATTAGCTGGGTGTGGTGGCGCATGCCTATAATCCCCGCTACTCGAGAGGCTGAGGCAGGAGAATTGCTTGAACCCAGGAGGTAGAGGTTGTGGTGAGCTGAGATTATGCCATTGTACTCCAGCCTGGACAACAAGAGTGAAACTCTGTATCAAAAAAAAAAAAAAAAGGAAACAAAAAAGAATCTTAACAGTAATGATTAGAGCATTCAGAAAAAAAAATCCAACTGTATCACAGAGTCGGCTTGGCAACTGTTACAATGTGATCTCGTTTAAATTTTGCAAAGGCATTTTGTCTTTGGAAAAATCATGTGGGGACTAGATGTACAGTATTTTCACCACCGCAGTGTAGCAATGTTTACAGTTGTACCTGTTAGCTCCATTTGAATAAAGCTGTTACGCTGGACGATATAGATCACAGTGCTTAAACTTCTTTCTTGATTCTTGAAGGTGGCCATTCCCATAGAGGACGTTAACCGCAGTCACCTTCGGTTTACCTTCCGCCACAGGTCATCACAGGACTGTGAGTAGTCAAGCACTTTCTTCCCCCAAGGATTTTTAAGGGAGAACTGGGGGAAAGCGCGAGAGGCCACTCTCAGTTGTTCTGGAACTTGCTATCATAACACAATAAGGCTCACTTCCCACCTTATTCTTCTTTTTCCTTGAGCAGATCTCAGGAGATCTTAATTGCTTTCTCCAGTTCCTCCTACCCAGTATTGCTGGTCCCCTTCTTTCTTTTGCTTTCCAGTCTTCTGTGTTGACTTGTCATTCATCCATGTCATCCATCAGAAAAGTTACCGAGCTGTAACAAATACCTCTCAAACATGGACTCTTAAGGCCCCCTGTCTAGAAACTGGAAATCTTGAATCCTTTTTGTCTTTTGTGGTGACCCTTGCTGTCTGGAGCTCAGGGATGGCTTTTCTCATAGACATTTCTCTGATACTGACCATGATGCCAAGACTTTAGAAGGAAAGAACTGCTGTAGAAATCACTCTCCTTCAAAAAGAATTTATAATTGATGACTGAAGTTTGTTCCATCACATTTTGTTAAATTAATTGTCAACTAAAGCTGTAGCCCCGTGCTAGACTTTAAGATATCACAGAAGGAAAACATGATTGCTGTCTTTCAGGGTGTGTGTTTCTTTGGCATTGGGAACTGAGACATTTTAATATTTGGGACAATAAGTGGCAAAGAGAGTTGACTACAGGCTTGTGTGCCGCAGGCAGTTAAAGGAAAAGAGTGGTGTGGAGGGCAGACCACCCTTTGTCACCGATGAGCCCGCTGGGGTCGCACCGTGCAGTGGGCAGTTTCAGGTTCTGTGTACTCTGGAAGGAGCTTAGGCATGAGCCTCTTCTGTGTCTTCATTTGAGGATAAGAACAACTTCCTGGCTGGTGCCGTGGCTCACACCTGTAATCCCAGCACTGTGGGAGGCCAAGGTGGAAGATTGCTTGAGCCCTGGAGTTTGAGACCAGCTTGGGCAACACAGTGAGGCCCCATCTTTACTGAAAAACCAAAACAATTATCCGGGTGTGACGGTGTGTACCTGTAGTCTCAGCTGCTCAGGAGGCTGAGGCAGGAGGATTGCTTGAACCCGAGAAGCGGAGGTTGCAGTGAGCTGTGATTGCACCACTGCACTTCAGCCTGGGGAACAGAGTGAGACCCTGTCTCAAAAAAAAAAAAAACAAGAAAAAAACAAGAAAATTCTCCTCCTAGGGTATTCTTGAAGGTCAGGTAAGGTGGAGGCTGGCCACCTTCCGGCACGGTGCCTGCTGTGGATAGGGGCTCCATGGTGGTTGCTGCTGCTGGGATAATGTGTTCATTCACCTGACTGTTTCTGGGGCCTGGCCTGCCCTGGGCCCTCCATGTGGGGTGGGTGTGTCTGGACAGGGTGCTGCAGGAGAGCAGCCTGGAGAGCAAATGTGTGAGCACGGTCATGATGTTATGGTGCAGACCACCTTGTGGGACCATCGAGAAGCTTGGGCCTGCTGTTGTTCAGGGGAGTTGGGGAGTCCTGGTGTGTGGGGTCTGCAGAGCTGGGGTGCGGGCCCACGACTGTCAACGGCAGGTGTGTGTGTGGTGGAGCGTGGCCTGGAATGTGGCTGACTGGAGGGGTCTCGAGCAGCATGGGGTGCCTGGTGGTGGGTGGTGCATGGCCGGGGAGTGCGGGGCGGGGGGCGGCGGCTGACAGCTGCTGAAAGCATCATTGCACTCCTGTCCTGTCCCAACAGTGCGCGCAGGTCACGGGTTCAGTTACAAGGGCATCCGGGTTTATGTCTAATGGGAGAAGCTGGGGCAGGAAGGCCGCCTGCTTGGAAGGCAGTTCCCTGCCATCTCATCCTTGACACAGGACCAGTTCCAGGCCCCCAGACCCCAAACCAAGTCGGATCTGCTAATGGTACATGACATCCTTGGTGGCCGAAGCTGTAGGATAATAATAACCATCAACAGATGTTGGCCATCGTTCACTGTGCTCTTACCATGTGCCTGACACAAGAAATTTATTGTGCTATTTGGATTCATCCTCACAAGATTCCCATATGGTATCAGTATTATTACTTCCCACATTACAGATGAGGAAATGGGCTTGGAAACCCCAGGTCAGGGGCTGAAAGTCACCCAAGTAGTTGGTGGAAGAACTTTGGTTCTAACCCAGGTCCTTGTGCCGGAGCCTTACGCTCCAGTGCCTTACGCTCCAGTGCCTTGGGGGAGTGGCGAGGCCACTTCCCTCCTTTGGCTTTTATTGAGTTCCTGCTGTATACACAGCAAGCTGCTGGAGTTTCTCCTCTTGCAGAGCTTAGGTGTGAGTTGAGGTTTGAGATTAGTTTGCAAGAACCAGCTAGGGTGTGGCAGCCTGTGAGTATCACGTGAATTAGGCAGAGGTATGATGTGGGCGGAGGGTGCTGGTGGAATGGGGGTGGCGGTGGGCACAGGTGTGTCCTCGGCCAAGGCGTGGTGGGCCAGCCTAGTGGGCCACAGTGCGCCCTAGGCCCTCTAGGGCTCCACGCATACATCACCCTGAGGCCCATGGAGGAAGCAGGGTGAGGACAGGGTTCTGGAATCCACAGAGGACTTGTCTCAAAATCATGCTCCCGTCTTTTAACAAACTCATTCTCTCTAATTAATAAATTACACTAGGGCAGAGTGATAGCTCCTGTAGCATTTTAATTTTCAAAATCCTTGTTTTTCTTGTCAGTTTTAAGTACTTATTATAGACAAGATGCTATCACCCGACATACCAGGACACGTTTGCATAATAAATGAAGTTTCGGTGGCCACAGCTTGTGGGATTTTGGAAAGATGTTGAGCATCGCAAGTGTGATGCCGATGAAAGCCTGGACGTCGGTCACTGACCATGGCCTTTGGGGCCTCCCCAGCCAGCCCTGCATGCAGATACCTGGGGCAGAAACAGGTAGAAAGAGCTGAGGCCACATTGGTCCCCGCTTGCTACCCTAAAGAGGAGGCTAGCAAAGGGAACAAGTGATGGGATTTCTCACCTGGGATCTGTCCTTGGGATTGGAAAGTTTGGTGTCGATGGGTTGACATAATATCTTTCCAGCAACCTGTCAGCAACTCCAGGTGCACTAGACCGTGTGGTCCATGGAGCCCGGCAGACTTGCAGCTCTCAGTTCCAGCTGGCCAGGAGCTGAGTTTTCCTTGATTGTAGTGTGCTTGTTGGGTGGGGCGGCCTAGGGAATGGGCAGCTCTACCCACACTCCAGAACACGTGACCTCTACTGTGGTTCCTAAGGTTCTGTAAACTGGTCATGTGAACCGTCCACCTCATGATGGCTGCTAGTGAGCCTTCAGCAAAAATCAGTCCATTCCTCGGATGTGAAGGTGCAGCATGTTAATAAAAGGTGCACTTACTGTACTACTGTCTGGTAGGGTCAGTAGAAGCCATCTGCTGACCATTATTGTCCCATGTCCTTCTGAACCCTGGCTGTTTTCATGGAGGCGTGTCTTTTTTGTTGTCTTTTCCAAGTCCACCCAAACTTAGGAGGAACTGTTCTGTTCTTTGCCATTTGTACCTTGAAATATTTTATGTACTCTGGTGCCCTTTTACAGAGTTGTTTTTTCAGAATCCTAGGGTACTTATATTTTACTTCTGCTTCTTCCTGTGTTTTTTGGCTGGTTGATTATTCATGGAACCCTTTGATTTGCCAGGATGTATTGAGCACCCACTGTGTGCAAAATACTGCTGGACACCAGAAAGGCAAAGGTGATGAGCCATGTGGTCTTGGGCAGTGGGATCTGAGGGTAAATATTTTGAGCCGCTGACTCAAGGCGGGTGGATGCGTGATTCTTCCTCTGTGATCTCTGTCTTTTCATCTGTAAAGAGAAAGCTCTGAATCTGTAATTGTGGAGATAGTTTCCAGCTCTGGGCCTGTGTTTCTGTGCTCTACTGAGATTGCAACTTGAGGAATTTGTGGCAGATCCATTTCTTCAGTCCATGTTCCTCCTCTGTCCTGGCTCATCAGTCCGTCCCCGCCTTTAACTCTCGCTGCCTATCACCAGCCACACTGGCCTGCTGTCCCCAGATGTGTCACAGTGGTCCTCGCGAGGGCCTCTCTCTGCCTCTTCCTGCAGCTTTGACATCTTGGCTTATGTGCTGTCCAGCTTCTCAGAGAGATGTCTTCTGACCAAGAAATTGGATTGTCCCCGTTGTCACTGTGACCCCTTAAACCACAGTGTTTTTGTTTTCTTTATCATCTGAAAGCTCATTTGTTTGTTGACTGTCTCCCAAAGTGGCACAAATATGGATTGAGTACCTGTTGGGCACCAGGCACTATTTCATGTACTGGGAAATGGCAGTAAAACAAAAGGTCACTTACATTCCAGGGTCCAGTGGATGAAATCGACAATAAATAGCAACAACATGAACAAAATTCTCTCTTTCTGTCTCTCTTTGTCTCTCTCTCTCACACACACACACAGAAACACGTATGTCAGGTAGTGATAAGAATTATAAAGAAGACTAAATCAGGTGAGAGGAAAGAGGGTAACTAATGGACTATTTTAAACAAGATGTGGTCACTTTGGAGGAGGGGACATTTTGGCAGAAGCTTGAATGAAGTGAGTGAGCCCCACCTGCAGATACCTGGGGGATGAACTCTCTCACCAAAGGCAGCACAATTTCACATGGAGGTCGTGAGTCCATTGGTAATTCATGTGATGGATGTTGCGAGGCAGGAATTGATTGTAGTTTTCTGTATTGACGCGAAGTTTCCTTGGTGGAATGGTCTGCCCCTTCCCAGCCTCTGTTGTTTGCTGTGGCCTCTCATTTCCGGGCCCTGTTCGTTTCCGCTGGTCTGGGCGTCCTAGGTGAAAAGCATACAATCTTTCTTATTGTCACTTGACAGTTACTCTTGCTTTCTAGTGCTGCGGGCTTTCCTCGGCCTTCTTCAAGACCATGCTGCCCTTCTCGGCCCTTTATTCTGGAATCCGTTTTCACGTTCCAGGAGAAATCTCTTCTACGAGATTTTGATTAGAATGGCTTTGAATTTACAGATTACTTTGAGAACAACTGATCCCTTTATGCTAGGGGTCTTCTTACTTGTAAACATGGTCCATTTTTCCATATGTTTATGAGACTGACTTTAATACCTGTTCGTATAATTTTGTAATTGTTTTCTTGAAGGCAGCCTTTGTAGCATCTTACAATGTTATTTTGTCATGATAATTGAAGGCAATCATCAATTTTTTTGTTTTTTGTTTTACAGCTAAGGATAAATCTGAGAAAATATTTGCACTAGCATTTGTCAAGCTGATGAGATATGATGGTACCACCCTGCGAGACGGAGAGCATGATCTTATCGTCTATAAGGTATCTGGTTGCATTGGTGCAGTATTGCTGCTATAGACAGTTTCAGTCTTTTCTGGGCTTCCTGACCCGAACCAACATTTCCCATCATTGTGAGGAAGCTGCTATCTAGCTACATTTAATTATGTCAATGAACATTTCCGATGACCAGCCCTTTTGTTGTTCCTAACAGGAAAAGATGATATACAATATAACAATAGGTGCCATATAAAAATGCCATGAACATGAATTATGCTGCAGGAATAAGGGAAATTGTTAAAATGTGTATTTAATGTGATAAAAAGCAATTATGATGGTTACAAGGATTAGGGGTAACAAAGGATGGCAAAAAATGGTGTGTTGCTGTTTGGGAATTGCCTTTGACATATGGCATGACTAAACCCGCAGGCCGAGGCGAAGAAGCTGGAAGATGCAGCCACGTACTTGAGTCTGCCCTCCACGAAGGCCGAGTTGGAAGAAAAGGGCCACTCGGCCACGGGCAAGAGTATGCAGAGCCTTGGGAGCTGCACCATTAGCAAGGACTCCTTCCAGATCTCCACGCTCGTGTGCTCCACCAAACTGACCCAGAACGGTGCGTTCGAGAGGAGAAACCCATTCACCCCAGGAGCTCTGCCTCAGTCCCGTCTTTTCCACGCTCCTTCCTGTGTGGAGGTGTCCTCTGTAGGCGTATGAACGTCACCCGTAAGGCATTCATTGCATTGGGCTGTGATGATCTGTCAATGCATAGAAGGTGGCATTCGTTGTAATTTAAAATTCACGCTTCTACTCTGGTCTAAGGGTTATTCTTTTTTTTTTTTTTTCCCCCAGACAAGGTCTCATTCTCACTCTGTTGCCCAGGCTGGAGTGCAGTGGTGTGATCTCAGCTCACTCCAGCCTTGTCCTCCTGGGCTCAGGCCATCCTCCCACCTCAGCTTTCCATGTAGCTGGGACCACAGGTGTGCAGCATCATGCTTGACGGCTACTTTTATTTTTAATTTTTATAGAGATGAGGTCTCACTTTATTGCCTAGGCTATTCCCAAACTCCTGGGCTCAAGCAGACCTCCCGCCTCGGTCTCCCAAAGTGCTAGGATTACAGACATGAGCCACTGTGCCCAGCTGTGTTATTCTTAAAGGGAGATGAAGCAATGGATTTACTTCTTAAAATGATTTTTGGCCAAAGGACGGTAGCATGGCATAAAGGAAAGTGCACTAGATTTGGAGTCAGACCAAAGACCTGGAATCGGACCGTAGCCCTGTGTTAACCCTGGGGATGCCCTTGAATAAGGGTCTTCTGCACGTTTCGGAGTCTTATCTTCCTTGTCTGTTGATACGGGAATAGTGCCTGCCTCAAAGGGCTTAGTGAGGGTTACGTGAACAGTGGGCTGGGAGCTCACCTCCCTCTTTATGTCGTCCCCATTCTCAGCTACTCTCTGAGATAATTACCAGTTATCTTTATTTTTAAAAGCTGGTTTGGATGATACTTTCTAGCCCTCCTCGTGGTGTGGGATAAGGCACCCCCTGCTGACTCCCACACCCCAAAGCTCAGCCCTAGTGTGGTAGATCACTCATCCATCAGCTGGTGCCATGCCCTTGTGTGGCAGTTGGCCGACTGCTTTGAGTGCCTGCACCACCACTGCTTTGAGTGCCTGCACCACCACTGCTTGCAGCCTCTCCAGTGACATTGCTGTCCAGCCAGGGGTACTTCTTATTCAGAGCACACTGATGTTGTTGCTGTCACTCTGTCTGGAAGAGGCAGAAATCCTACATTTAAAAATTGCATCTTCCAAATGCAGCCGTATCACAGCTGTGCAGAGTGACTTTATGCTCTCTCAAATCAGAGCTTGAAAACCCAATTTTTTCCTCTTAACTGCTCGATATGGATTTTGATTATTAATGTCTGTTGCTATCAGGAATTGTGTCTCTGGGGGATTGTCAGTAAATCATGGCAGTAGTTTTGGATTTGTCCAAGGGACAGTCATCATTTGGACTTTAATAGGGTAAATACAGGACAAAAGTAAAGCCATCGTCTGGAAGTCAGGACATTGTAGTGGAGCATGCAGCATGCACTGAGTGTGCTGTGTGTTTGGATGTGCCAGCCCTGAGTCAAATGCTTTTAGATCTTGCCGTTTCTGCACTTTGCACTCTGTTGTTCTGGGCTACACTTTCCCACTGCTGGTCTGCTGAGTACATTTCTTGGTGTGGGAGCAATAAGTCTCTTAAGTGCCTTAAGCCTGTTGGGATACTTTTGTATTCCATTTGCATACATGTCTCAAACCATTTATGAAGTATCCTAGCTTGTGGTTGTGTAGTGGTCTCCATGAGCAAATGAAAAGCCTTAGCTGGGGGTGGGATTCCTGTTCATGCTGCTGATAAAGAATACCTGAGATTGGGCAGTTTACAAAAGAGAGAGGTTTAATGGACTCACAGTTCCATGTGACCGGGGATGCCTCACAATTGTGATGGAAGGCAAGGAGGAGCAAGTCACTTCTTACATGGATGGCCTCAGGCAAAGAGAGAGAGAGAGCTTGTGCAGGGGAACTCCTCTTTTTAAAACCATCAGATCTCGTGAGTCTTACTCACTGTCACGAGAACAGCACAGGAAAGACCTGCCCTCATGATTCAATTACCTCCCACCAGGTCCCTCCCACAACACGTGGCAATTCAAGATGAGATTTGGGTGGGGACACAGCCAAACCATATCAAGTGGTCAGCAGTGCGGGGCTCAACCTGAGACTTGGTTATAGAAAGGATGCCCCCCTGTGACATGTTAGTCTCTGGATGTGGCCTTGATAGCTCCACTTGCCTGACAGATGACAGCATCCAGAGCCTCATTTAACCCAAAAGTGACATCTCCAGGTGGGGCACACTTCAGCATTTCAGTAGGTGCTATGTGTTGCGGTGCTCATGGTGCAGGAAGCCATCATCTCATACTTGGGTCATGTTCCAAAAGCATGCTTGGAAGTCATTACTTGGAACTTGATCATCTTTCCCCATTCAAAGCAATGCTCTGAGCTGCGGTTAGGTGATGAGGCCCATCCACAGAATGCTTCTTAACCCTCATGACCCTGGAGAAGGGACTGTGGACCAGGACATCCCACCCCCGGGGGGTGGGGTCAGTGGCGATCCCTCCTTTCCCCTTCAAGCTCCTTGAGTCTCACCAGCTGCAGAGTAATCCCCTCCCCAGACTGAGGGAGAGGGCACCCTGCTCTCAGCAGCAGCTGTTGCCAGGCAACAAGGAAATTCCGACGTGGTGCCGCTCACCGGGACTGACGGGAAATCTGCCTTTCATTTCACACCAGCCACGGTTCCCCTTCTCAGGATTGTGGCGTGTCAGGTGTGTACAAGATGGAGCTGCCCCAAATGGCATCTAAGCATCGACTCCCACATTCTCATTTGAGGGAATCATTTTTCTGAAACCATGATTTGTTCCTGTGAAGTTCCATTACTTAGGGAAACGCAGTGGCTGAATTATTCATTGAGGTTTGTATTAAACTTCTCTGTCCTCAGCATTATGCTAGATGCTGTGGGGGATATGAAAGAAGTATAAGACGTGATTCCTCTTCTCAGTTAACTGACTATATAATTAGAAAGGAGTCATGAATATGGGCCGTGAGTCCCAGTAATAAGGGGCTGGGGTGGGCATCTGCCGTGGGCAGCTTCATGGGGTCTGGATAAGCCCTGTTCTCTTCCAACACTCCCTTTGCCCCAAGGTGTTTTACTACTCGTTAGCCCAATTGGACTTTGTCTCAAACTTACCGCACAGCGTGCCACCGACTTTGAATGAAGGGGATCCACATTATTAGTGTCTATTAAGGAAATACTGGTAATTCTTGTGAGATGGAAATCTCCCTTAACCCTAGGACCAAGAGTGTGTCTGGGCAGGATGGAGCCTTTTCCTCCATGACTTCCCTTTCGCTTAGAAATGAAGACACGTTGGCCAGGTGCAGTGGCTCACACCTGTGATCCCAGCACTTTGGGAGGCTGAGGCATGAGGCTCACATAAGCCCAGGAGGTTAAGACCAGCCTGGGCAACATGGCGAGTCCCTATCTCTACTGAAAATTAGCTGTGCATGGTGGCATGCACCTGTAGTCCCAGCAACTTGGAAGGCTGTGGTGGGAGGATCGCTTGAGCCTGGGAGTTAGAGGCTGCATTGAGCCGTTGTTGTGCTCCTACATTCCAGCCTGGATGACGGAGTGAGACCCTGTCTCCAAAAAAAAAAAAAAAAACAAAAAAAAAAAAAAAAAGGTAAATTGCTCAATTCCTCAATTCCTCATTATCTCCTGGGATGACTGCTGCCATTTGTGCTTTTAGACTAGGCATTCTGCTAGGTGCTTTCTACACGTCATGTCAGTTAATTCTTACAGCCACCTTGTGAATCGGGCAGCATCCTGCCCATGGTTCAGGCGAGAATATTGAGGTGAAGTTACTTGCCAAGGCCAAGCAACAAGTGGTTGCTGAGTGCTGGTGTTTAAGCTCACACTTGGGTGTCTTCCACAGGACCTTTGGGTGCTCCTTTTCTGTCTCCCTATTTTTAACTCTTCCCTTTGTCAGCTGTACTTGGGGGTAGGGTGAAATAAATGAAAATGTATGTTTTGGAGCTTATTGTGTGCATGCCTTTTGTACAGTTTGATGCTAAAATTATAATGGATGTCTGTATTTCCTAATTTTCTACCTATAGTCACAATTAGAGGTTTGTTTTTTTTTTCCTTCTTCAGTATTAACTTGGGTTTTGTATTTTGATTCTTTCTTTTATGCAGACAGTTTCTGTTTCTGTAGCTGAAGTTGGTTCTCAAGCATAACGGTAAATTAGATGTACTTTGTTAATGGTATTTTTTCAAGTAATGGGATGTTAATATAACTTCAGGTGAAATTTGGGTAGGCATATGTACATTCCTAGGGAGCTTTTGGATCCTGTCTTCTTACCTTAAATGATATCTTGGCCAGGCATGGTGGCTCACACCTGTAGTCCCAGCACTTTGGGAGGCTGAGGTGGGTGGATCACCTGAAATCAGGAGTTTGAGACCCGCCTGGCCAACATGGTGAAACCCTGTCTCTACTAAAACTACAAAAAAAATTAGCTGGGTTTGGTGGCAGGTGCCTGTAATCCTAGCTACTCGGGAGGCTGAGGCAGGAGAATCTCTTGAACCCAGGAGGTGGAGGTTGCAGTGAGCCGAGATCGCGCCATTGCACTCCAATCTGGGCAGCAAGAGCGAAACTCCGTCTCAAAAAAAAGAAAAAGAATATCTTGATCCCTTAAACAAAAACATTTCTGGACACTGTCTTCTTCCACATTGAGTCTTTAAAAACCAGTATATTCATTCCTTGCTCTTTCTATAAAAAATGCAACAAACAAAACAACCGTAAGAACCACAAACTTCTATGGAAGCCTAGACATGGTGAGGGCTGGAAGTTCGCTCAGTGCAGGCATGAACCGCAGTGCAGGCGTGGTCTCAGTTGTCCGGAGCTACTGTAGCTGCGCGGACTCTTAACCTTGCAGTCTCAGTACTTTAATTTGTTAGTTATTTTATTTATATCATCTATAAAAAAATAGTGGCTTGTTCTTGAGCAGGAAAAACAAATCATTTGGTATCCAGTGCCTGGGCAGCGCTTTCTGGGTGAGCAGGCCTCTTCAGGTGTTGTGGTGCTCTGAAACTGCCTTCTTGTAGAATGGAAAGACAAGTTCTTTTTTAGTTTCCCAAATGTATTTTTAAAGCTGCTACATGGAAATCATTTCATTGTAAATGTCGTTGGGAATAATGAATTCAACCGTACTAGGTGTTAAGTATGTTGCTACAAAGGAATGGAATATTTAGCAGGTGAATCTTTTAAAATAGGGTTGATTTCTCTGTTCACAAAATTTTATAGAGAACCTCACTTAATGCATGATTAACGGAGACAGAACAGAGTTCTTGCTGTGAAGAGCTGATTGTCATTTCTGTTTCCAGTGGACCTTCTGGGGCTCTTGAAGTGGCGCTCCAACACCAGCCTGCTGCAGCAGAACTTGAGGCAGCTGATGAAGGTCGATGGTGGTGAAGTAGTGAAGGTAACGTAGAGTCCAAAGGGACTTTTTGGGTCTTTTTTTGTAAATGTATATTAACAGAGGCCGGGCGCGGTGGCTCACGCCTATAATCCCAGCACTTTGGGAGGTTGAAGCGGGCGGATCACGAGGTCAGGAGATAGAGACCATCCTGGCTAACACGGTGAAACCCCGTCTCTACTAAAAATACAAAAAAATTAGTTGGTCATGGTGGCGGGCGCCTGTAGTCCCAGCTACTCCAGAGCCTGAGGTTGGGGAATGGCGTGAACCCGGGAGGCGGAGCTTGCAGTGAGCAGAGATAGTGCCACTGCACTCCAGCCTGGGCAACAGAGCCGGAGTCCAATAAAAAAAAAAAAAAAATATATATATATATATATATTAACAGAAGTAGGCAGTGACTCCAAAGGTAGTATAGGATTGTGGTTATACTCCCCTTTAAAAAATAGTGACATATGGGCCAGGAGCGGTGGCTCACGTCTGTAATCTTAGCACTTTGGGAGGCCGAGGCGGGCGGATCCCCTGAGGTCAGGAGTTCGAGACCAGCCTGACCAACATGGAGAAACCCTGTCTCTACTAAAAATACAAAATTAGCCGGGCGTGGTGGCACATGCCTGTAATCCCAGCTACTCGGGAGACTGAGGCAGGAGAATCGCTTGAACCCGGGAGGCGGAGGTTGCAGTGAGTGAGCCGAGATCGCACCATGGCACTCCAGCCTGGGCAACAAGAGCAAAACTCCATCTCAAAAAAATAAAACAAAATAATAGTGACATACACCTCTAGGTGCACAGAGTGCTTCTTGGCTTCTGGTTTTGGGGGGACTGTCTGGGTTAGCCGTGAAGGAGACTAGCTTTGCAATCACCCTCATCGTGGGTTCCATGTCCTCTTCCCACAGGTACTCACTGCAGGACTCACAACAGTTCAGTGGCCTTTTTAGGCCTCTCTTTCCCCTGCCATGAGAAGGCGGTAAGAGTAGTGCCTTCTGCAGGGTCACTGTGGAGCCTCAGGTCTTTTTACTGTTGTCATGATCCTTGTTACTGCCAGCAACATTCGTACTGGCCCTGGCTTGTGACTCCCTGAGATCCCCTTTAAGTGACCAGGATTGGTCTGTGGTGTGGTAGAAAGATCACGACACAGAGAGGCTTGTCCGGGCCGTTTTCCTCCCATGGGTGGCTCTGCAGCAGCGTCGGTGTAATTATTTATTCGGGCCCTGTGGCCTCAGCGTCTTTATCTATGAGATAGGACAGTCATGTTACATGGCCTGAGGTCCCTGGGAGCCCTCAGCTTCTGGCATTCTTTATTCTGTAATTGTTTGTGGTTCTGATATTTTCGGCAGTATTAGGCTCTTCTCTGCTCTCAGATACGCCACAATTTGCTGGGACAGCTTTTCGTTGTACGTGAGGAAGCGAATTTCCATTTTTAGTCGGTTCTGTTTTTGACCATGGGATGATAAACAGGTCACTGGCATGTGGCGTTCTGTAAGTGTAGACTTTCCAGCCAGGTCTGTCTGTTGCTGCCTCATTTCCTCACCCTCTAGGAGAGGTGATTACAGAAAGAAACAACCTTATCTCTGCAAAAATTAATTACTTAAAATGGCCTTAATTAACCAGCAATGTGCTTCACTTCAGTATCAATTAATTTGGTCGCACCGGTTTCCTGAATCATTGTATAGCCCTTCAGACATGTCCTCGCTAATCTTAAAATTTTAATCATCTTCTCAGTCCTGGTCTTCTTCCAATGGCTTGGACAATGTTAATTGCATTTTAAACTTCCCTGCGTTCTGTAAATTCCCTAATTCAGATGGAAACTAGGTGAATACGTGAATGTAGTTGAAAAGAACCCAGTTAATGAAATTTTGTCGTCTTTCATTTTGAAGTCCCTGTATCATATTAGGAATGAGTTGTATTTCTGATGACCGGTTGCCACAGTTACCTGGAAGAATGTAGAATGATCTTGTCCCATCATACTCCCCATTTCCTTCATCTCATAGATTCTCACATTTGATTATTCATCCCTGGACATGGCCTTTATACCTTTCCCTTCTTCCCACGCATGTTGGTACCACGCAAGCCTGGGTGACCTGTCCAGCCCTTACCTAAGGCCTTGCCTAACTTTGTGTTTTTTCTCTGTTGGCATGTCTGACATGCGCCGTGAACCTGGAGAGTGGAATTGACTTGAGGCCATGGGGCTGTTAATGGCCAGCCGGGACTTGAGGAATTCTCGCCTGCATGGGGCTCCTTTTGCACTGTTTAGGGATGCTGATAGATTGTGGGTTTGGTTCTGTTTATTCAAGACCTCCCTTCTGCATATTGATGACTGATAGGAGAGAGATGGCATTGCTTGATAGATTGGGGAAGGTGTTTAGCAAAAGATATGCTGTCCCATTAGATGGAAAATGGAAATGGTGACTTTGGTCCCTTTGAACATGCTCTTAGAGAGAGGGTGGGGTGCCAAATGAAGCCCTTTCATGGCTCTGTGTGAAGGCCCTCCTTGAGGTGCTCGCCCCTGCCCCACTGCAGCTCCGCACCCCAATACGTGCAGCTCCATCTCCCTTTGGTTCTGTTTCTGTGCCACTGACCATGTCATGTGTCTGGGTGGGACCAGGTGGTCTACTTCAGGGACTTTGCATGAACTGTGACAAGCCAGGTCCTGTCACCTGGGAGCCTGTTGGCAGGGGAACATTCGGCTGTTAGCAGATGGCATCAAGTTTTGACCTTCGCAAAGGATTTACGTTCTGAAAATGATGGGAAATGGTACAAAAGTAACAAAGTGATGCAGATCCAAATAGTGAGGAGTTGATTAAGCCCTTGATATCCAGACCAGTATGCCTTTTGGTCAGGGTGGTTTTGTTTACCACTGTTTGCATGTGACATTTCCTGGTATAAAGTAGGTGGTGGCTGGCACAGCCAAGCATGGAGAGGATTTTACTCCTTCAAGGGTCTCCGATCTCATGTTGGGCATGCCGGGCGTCCTCTCTCCCGAAGGAGGCGGGCGAGGCTCTTGATGCTGCTGCAGTTCCATGGCACTCCTTTGCAAGCAGGAGTCTCTGGTTTGCTTCTTTAGTCTTGGGGCTATAGCAGTTTGAGATCCTCCGTGCCTCCCCGAAGGCCCCCTGGGTGTCGGGAAGAGGCTGCACAGTCCAGGAGGAATCTGAACCAAATGCCTGACCCAGCCTTCCCTGTGATGTCCTTGCTGTGTGATCACCTCACCCATTTATTTTTATTTTTCTTTAAATTACAGTTTCATTGAGATATGATTCACATACCATAAAATTCATCCTTTTACTCAGAAGTTTTTAGTGTCTTCACGGAGTTGTACGACTATTACCATTGTCTAATTTCAAAACACTTTCATCACCCCAAAAGAAACCACATAGCTATCAGCGGTCACTTCCTCCTCTCCCTGTAACCACTAATCTGCTTCCTGTCTCGATGGATTTACCTATTCTGAATATTTTATGTAAATTGAATCATACGCCCTGTGGCCTTTTGTGTCTGACTTCTCTCACTTAGCGTTGTGTCTTCAAGGTATATCAGTGCTGTAGCAACTGTCAGTGCTTCACGGCCTTTCTTTTTTTTTTTTTTTGAGACGAAGTTTCGCTGTTGTTGGCCAGGCTGGAGTACAATGGCGCAGTCTTAGGATCTTGGCTCACCACAACCTCCGCCTCTCAGGTTCAAGCGATTCTCCTGGGATTACAGGCATGCACCACTATGCCTGGCTTATTTTGTGTTTTTAGTAGAGATGGGGTTTCTCCATGTTGGTTAGGCTGGTCTCAAACTCCCGACCTCAGGTGATCCGGCCTCCTCGGCCTCCTAAAGTGCTGAGATTATAGGTGTGAGCCACTGCGCCTGGCCTGCTTCATGCCTTTTTATGGCCAATAACATTCCATCACATGGATAGACCACAGATTGTCTTTCCATTCATTAGTTGACACACATTTGTATTGATTCTGCTTTCTTGGAGATGATGAATAATATTTGTGTACAAGTTATTTTGTGAACATATGTTTCCTTTCTTTTGGAGGTATGGCTAGGAATGAAACTGTTGACTCGTGGTAAATCTGTGTTTAACTTTTTGAGGAATTGTCAAACTGTTTTTCATAGCAATTGCACAATTGTACATTTCGACTTGCAATGTACAAGGGCTCCAATTTCTCTGCGTTCTTGCCCACACTTCTTATTCTTCTTTTAAACTGTAGGCCAGATAGTGGGTGTGAAGTGATATCTCATGATGGTTTCCCTTTGTATATCCCTAATGAGTAATCATGATACATCAGTACTTCATGTTTATGGCCAGTATTTCGTTGTGTGGCGTTCTGCCTCTTCTTGACCTTCTCTTGTAATATGGATCATCACTTTGAACACAGTCATCTTCAGGCCATCTTACATTTCCTGCAGGGGAGGATGGGGTGGGACTTGAAGCTGACTTTTAGTGTGACATGCCTTTGAAGTCTCTTCCTAATTACATGTATGATGCTTTGTCCTTCTTTGCGGTAGAATTTATTTGGTAAATTTTAGTCAGCTGTAACTAATTTCGACATTGTTGTTGAATAAAGTAAGCACCTTCTGGTCCCAAAACTGGGATAGTGCTGTGTATTCCAGTTTCAGAATCACGATCCTCTTCCGTACCTGGGCACCCTGGTTGGTAGAAGGTCCTTTCTTCCGCTCAGCTGGGTCCTGTCCCTATGTAGCTTCTGCCCATTCACTAGCTGGAGTCCTATACCCAGTGTAGAATGAATCAGATGCATCTTCCCAGAGTTGCCATTCAGCGCTTTGTCACCAGCCTGATGAAAACCAGGAAGAGGGTTGGAAAGGCCGCCTGGGGGAAGCAGTAGGCCCTCTCCTTGCTTTGACCCTCTCCATTTAACTCTGGTGGCATCATTTCTTTGTTCTGAATTCACTCATCCAAAATTTTTGTCTTGTGCATCTAGTGGCTGTAGAAGATCCCGAATGGCTTTATAGGTAGTGTTGGGGGCAAGGTGGGTATTTGGAGTACGACGGAGATGATAGCTATTCCAGTGTGTCGGGGAGTCCCGGGGGTTCACACTATCAGCTGACCTTCTGTGTCTATGCAGTTTCTTCAGGACACGTTGGATGCCCTCTTCAACATCATGATGGAGAACTCGGAGAGTGAGACTTTTGACACATTGGTCTTTGATGCTCTGGTAAGAGAGCTTTCCTTCTCATGTGCTTGGATAACAGCGTTCTTTCATGCTGCAGCCTTTGAGGCTGGGGGTGGGGGCTTTGTCACAGTGACTTTGAACGCATTTTCAGTTGTAAATCCAATCAAAGATGAATTGGAGTGGCCAATTTTTTTTTTCTTTTCTTTTCTTTTTAATTGTAAAACTGTAGTTAGGCAAATGTCATTTCCAGGGTAAGAAGAGGTAAACTAGCCACCAACTTCTATGTGAAAATGTTCTGGTTCATTTCCTAACACAGGGGTGCAAATGGTTCTGATGAAGATTATAAAATGGCTTACATTATGTTATGCTAATGAAAATATTACTGATTAATTTGACAGGTATTTATCATTGGACTGATTGCTGATAGAAAATTTCAGCATTTTAATCCTGTTTTGGAAACTTACATTAAGAAACACTTTAGTGCAACTTTAGCCTACACGTAAGTTCCTACTTTGTTTTAAAATCAGTACCTCTTTTTTTGGTATTTGTGCTATTTAGAGTCTTTTTCATGTACTTTTGTCTATGACTGTGTATTTACCCCCGCTCAAAACTCTGAGTTTACTGGGATAATTTTTAGTATTGTTTCTCTCTTAACATACCTAAAAACCTTGTTGAAAGAGATATGTGATAAATCATCATAATATTCTGGAATAAATTCTTGTTCTCCCACACACCTTACATTTATCTTGGAAATCTTCAGTTTATGTTCGATGAAACTGAGCTATGGATGCGGAGTGTCTGACACCGCGGATTCCCCACGAGCCTTTGATGAATGGATAAATGCATGTGTTCCTGTGTTGAGGAGATTGGTTGTTGAGTGTGAATTAGATGCAGTTTTGTACTTTGCAATGTACCTCCTTGCTCTTTAAAGAGCCCCTTCCCTTTTCTTTGACAAGCTTCAGCTGTCACTGTCTTGGATTCCTTCTGTCCACCCTTCTGCCCGTCTGTGTGCCCCAGAGGTCTAGGAAGACACCAGAGGCTGCGCGTGGTGCCTGGGCCAGCTTAGCAGCGTGCCTGGTGTTGAAGAGCAGAGCCCTGGGGTCTGGAGTCAGGCTGCCTGGGCTTGATGTGCAGCTCTGTCCCTCACAAGCTCTGTTGGGCAAGTTGCTTAACCTCGCTGAGCCTCAGCCTTCTTGTCTGTAATCAGAGCATGATTGTGGGCTCGTGTGGAAATTTTAATAAGTTATTACATGTAGAGTGCTTGGACTAATCCCTGGCACTTAAAAAGCACTAAGCAATTACTGGGTTTCATTATTATTAGATTTATTATGGTGACTTACTGGCTCTTTCATGGTGGAATTTATTGGCATTTATCAAACTTTTTATCGTGTGAGTTACAGCAAAACATAAAGATTTAAACAGTTTCTTTAAGAACATCCCACTTAGAATCAGTAGAAAGGATTCTCTTTAGTGTGAGTAAATTTAGTTAGAACTCCCTTCTGTGTCATCAACATACTTTGCAGAATACCTGTTTTTCCTCCCTGTGTGCAGTCACGAACTCATGTCAGAGGACTCTGGCCTTCTGAAGCCAGCTGTTAATATACCCCAGTCCTGCGCCTGGATTCTTTGCTGTCTGCCTCGAGTACGTGTTTATTGTAAGGTGGTGGGTGGAACTCCAGGAAGGCTAAGAGCCGTGAGGTCCTCCAGCCTGCGGAACGAGCTGTGACTAGTTCTTTGCACTTGCTTGCTAATGAACGTTTGTTTAAAACATTTTGTTGGCTGAGTGGAGATGCCCGGTGTGTGGGCATGTTGAGTAGTTCCTTACGGACCGTGGGGAGGGTGCATTGCAGGGCACTTTTCCTGGCTCTCGTGACCAAAATGAGCGTGTGGGATTTGCAGAAGTGGCCTGCAGACTGCAGCAAACGTAGCACGCCCTCCAGGTGTGCTCGTTTCCAAAATTCTGCCTCTTGATTGAAATATGGCCAAACAGCTCTTCTCAGATTAGGCTCCTCGCTTGAATTTCAGAAGATGAGAGCCATGAATCAGCTTACCACACCGCAGCCACATTTCTTCATTGGCGCCAGCCTTGCCACGCTATGCTGTTGGGGAAAGAGTGATGCAGCCATTCTCATAGGTGGAGAAAGAAAAATGGAGATTTTGACGAGTTTCCTAATGAGACAAACAAAAAGTACTATTTTTTCTTTATGCTGTGATGGGCCTGAGATAATAGTATCCTCATGGCCGGGCGGAGTGGCTCACGCCTGTAATCCCGGCACTTTGGAAGGCCGAGGCAGGTGGATCCCATGAGGCCAGGAGTTGGAGACCAGTCTGGCCAACCTGGCGAAATCCCATCTCTACTACAAATGCAAAAATTAGCTGGGCACGGTGGCACGTGCCTGTAGTCCCAGCTACTCGGGAGGCTGAGGCAGGAGAATCGCTTGAACCCAGAAGGCAGAGGTTGCAGTGAGCTGAGATCGCACCATTGCACTCCAGCGTGGGTGACAAATTCAAGACTCCATCTCAAAAAAAAAAAAAAAGAATCCTCTCATTCAATCTTTGGAATCTGCTGGAAAAGAAATTTTTATTTTGGAAAATAAGTATTGTTAGCATGTTTTGGTAAACTGGCAACCTCAGGTGGTTCCTTAGCAGCCCCATGTCTCCACCTTGAAATTCCAGAGGAGTCAGTGGTGATTCAGACAGCTGTGACCACATCATGGAAGGTCGCCCCTGCATTGGTGATATGCTTACAGTATTCTCTGGGCCAGGCCAAATTCCAGTACTGAGTATTATGCCAGATTGTCCTTGTCCTCTTCTCCTCTAGAAGGCTTTGTCAGGTACAGGATTACTGTAGACTCTTGTCCATGTAGCCTCTCTCCTTTGGTAAATGTTGAGATCTTTAGCCCTTCTTCCCAAAGAACACCAAGAGAAGGCATGAAAGATTTTGGCAGCAGGCAGTCCTCTTCAGAACCCCGAGCCGTGTCTGCGGCTCCCCTGCGTGGGTAGTTCATGGATGCTGGAGCCCCACTGGACTGAGCAGCACTGGTCCGAGTGAGAAGGAAAGGAGGCGTCAGCTTTGGGGGCTACTCTTCCATAAAATCAGCATGGCTGGGTTCCTTTTTGTCCACCCTACGGAGCTGCTGCAGGCTCCTCACTGACAACTGGTGCTCCATCTGCTCCGCCCCTCTAGCCAGTGCCAAGGGGGTTGCTGTTTGTGCAGATATAAGATGGCCTGGCAGATTTATTTTTATTTATTTTCTTTTTGCTGTCTAATTCCAGGTTAAGATTCATTTGCTGGTTCTAAGTCCTTCTTTTATTTATTTTCTTTCTTTTTGCTGTCTAATTCCAGGTTAAGATACATTTGTTGGTTCTAAGTCCTTCTCTTTGCAAATTATTATTATTTTTATTTCTTTTTTTTAACTGGTTTGAAGAATTTCCAAAATGTGTTCTATGGAATGTTTATTCCCTGGGATATTAATAGATGTAATAAGAGGGGTGTGGTCCAGTAAGTTTGGGAAAATTAGTAAAACTGAGTGAAGCAGGCTTCGTGCCAGGGTGTTGCATGCTCTCCTGTGCAGTGAGCACCACCCGCAGAGTGGTGGCAAGGTGCGTTTTCCAGCCGATGGAGCTGGACACCATGGCAGGAGGATCTGCAGACCTCACCTCTTCAGAACACCAAGCAGGAGTTTGACTCTGAGAGCATCAGGGCTCCCTACTAGAGCTCTGGCACCTGATCAGTGTTAGAAGTGGCTTCACATCCACTCAGTCTCCCAGAAAGCTTTTCAGGCCATGGGTGGTGGCTCACACCTGTAATCCTTGCACTTTGGGAGGCCGAGGTGGGCGGATCATTTGAGGTCAGGAGTTCGATACCAGCCTGGCCAACATGGTGAAACCCCATCCCTACTAAAAAAAAAAAATACCAAAAAGTTAGCCTGGTGTGGTGGTAGACGCCTGTAATCCCAGCTGCTGGGAAGGCTGAGGTAGGGGAATCGCTTGAACCTGGGAGGCAGAGGTTGCAGTGAGCCGAGATCGCGGCACTGCACTCTAACCTGGGCAGAGTGAGACTCCGTCTCAAAAAAAAAAAAGCTTTTCATGGTGATGTATTGGTGAAATAGTTACTCTTAGCTCATCCATAATTGCAGTGAAGGTTGCTCTTCTGAGTGTCTCATTCCATAACCTGAGTGAGCAGTCTGGCCTTTACTGGCTCACAACTGAAACAGACATGCTGTCAGTACCCCAGCAGATTGCTTTCATGAATATAAAAGTCTTTCATGTGGCTTTTAAAAAGCCTCAGTGAATCTTGTTGAGTGCATAAGATGTTGGTGACTGGAGACATTTGGTTGGGATATTCTTCCTGGTGTCTTACTGGCTGTTCGCATGGTATTAGTTTTTGGAGAGTTGTAGTTCAGCTCAATACATTAAAAAATGAAAGTGTGTTGTTGTTAATTTAGTTATTCTTTTATTATGTGTAAGCTGTTGCTTGAGGGTCATCCATATGAACAAGGATTATTATTTGATGAGCTAGTAATGGTTGAAAGTGTAGAAGTATGAATGGAATTAAAAATGGCGTATCCTCACTACAGCCTCTATCATTTAAAAATAACACATGCTCAACAACAACAACCAAAAACTAAAGAAATCTCACATTACCCAAATGTTATAGTGCAGATGGTAAAAGTTTTCTGTATATAATGCTACACATTGGAGATATCTACTGTGCCAGCATTTATTTCCTGTGTTTGTATTAACGTTGCTATTAAGATTATGACTAGTTGCGTATTTTACAAAACAGCATTATTATTTTTGCTTACTTAAAATTTAAAAACATTTAAAAATTGTCATAATTTGCATACAACAAAATGCTCATTTCATTTTGTTTGGACAGTTTTTGTATAACTTTGGAACCACTGCCCAAAACAAGACATAAAACGTTGCCATTCCCCAGGAACATCCCTCTTGGCCTATCTGAGCCCATCCACTCCCAGACAAGCAGCCAGTCTCTGGTTTCTGTTAGCAATGTGTTTTGCCTGTTCTTAAACTTTACACCAGTGGGGTCATGCGCTCTTTTGGGTCTGGCATCTTCCCTTCCACTTAATTCTCTTGGGATTCACCCATGTTGCTTTGTGCATCATTAAATATTTGATTTTGCTTCTCTATTTCTGAGCAGTATTTTGTTGTATGAATATTTCATGATTTGTTTAGCCATTTTCTTGTTGATGGCTACATGAAGTGTTTCTAGTTTTTGGCTATTCCGGATAAGGCTCCTGTGAATATTCTTGTCCAAGTCTTTGGTGAAGTTTGTTTTTGTTTCCCTTGGATAAGCACCTGGGTGTAGAATTGCCGGGCCAAAGGATGCATGTATAGTTTTCTTTGTAAGATATTGCCGGACAGTTCTCCAAAAGGATTGTACCGTTTTGCATTCCTACCAGTAATCTGTGAATATTTGCTCTGTATCCTCATCAACATTTAGTATTGTCTGACTTTGTAGCTGTAGCTATTGTACTGGGGGCAAAATTAGATCTCTTGGTGATTTTATTTTGCAGTTGCTGGATGACTGATGATACTGAGTACTTGTTTATTTTTTTGATTTGCCATTTGTGAAATGTCTGTTCAAATCTCTTTTTCATTTTATATTTTGTTGTCTATTATTGATGTGTGTGGTATCAGTGTGTATGTGTTTGTGTGTTTATTCACATAAATATATGTATTTTTTTGTGTCAAACACAATTTTTGAACATTTTCTTCCTGCCTCTGTTTATCCCTTTTCTTAATGGTGTCTTTTGGTGAGCAGAAAGTTTTAATTTTATTGAAGCCTAAATCATCGTTTAAAAAAACAGGGATTTTCATTTTGTGGCTAAACAATCTTTGCCTAGCCAAAGGCCTTAACAATGCCTGCAGTGTCTAATGTCACAGCACTAGTCTCGTGGCTATTTAAATAAAATTAAACATTTACTTCCACAGTTGTGCCAGGTGTATTTCAAGTGCCCAGTTGCCACATGTGCTGAGCCAGGTTGGACAGCTCAGAAACAGGTTTCCATCACCGCAGAAAGTTCTGTTGGGCACCACTGTTTCAGAAGCTTTATGCCTTTGACAGAATTCAACATCTATTTATGATAAAATCTCTTGGCAAAGTAGGAATAGATGGGAAGTTCCTTGATCTGATAAAGCTCAGCTAAGAAAAGTCATAGCTAACCTTATATATAATGCTGGAACGTGGAAAGCTTTTCCTGTAAGTTCAGGAACAGACGCGGATGTCTCTTCTTGCCATATCTGTTTATTATTGCACTGGGCTTAGTAAAGCAAGAAGAAATAATTGCAGGTATAACGATTGGAAAGAAAAACTATTTTCACAGTGTGATTTGTATGTAAAAACCCTCCTGAATCTATTTTATAATTTATTTGAAAATAAAACAAACATAAAAGGAAACTTCAATTGTCTATGTACACATAATTGAGAGAGGGAATTAAAAGTACATAGGATTACAGTATGGTACAGTACAGTACAGTTTATGGTATTATCAAAGAGTCATAGGCCGGGTGTGGTGGCTCATGCCTGTAATCCCAGCACTTTGGAAGGGAGGCTGAGGTGGGTGAATCAGTTGAGTTCAGGAGTTTGAGACCAGCCTGACCAACATGGCGAAACCCCATCTCTACTAAAAATACAAAAATTAGGCAAGCGTGGTGGTGGGCAGCTGTAATCCCAGCTACTCGGGAGGCTGAGGCAGGAGAATCTCTTGACCCTGGGAAGGAGAGGTTGCAGTGAGCCAAGATTGCGCTTCTGCAGAGCCTGAGTGACAGAGTGAAACTCTGTCTCAAAAATAAATAATAAATCAATAAAAATAATGAGGAATAAAGTTACTGATAGATGACTGAAAATTGCAAAATTTGCTAAGAGAAATGTAAAAAGAGGTAAATAATTGGATAATATATACCATGGTCATGTATTGAAAAATAAAATACTGCTTGAATGTTTATTTCAAATTATAGTTTGAATACAGTCTCAATAAAATTCTATATGCTTTTGTGAAAAAAAATGGACTAGCTAGTTTGAAAATTTATGTTTCAAAAAGTCTGAAATACTGAAATAATATTTTAGAAGATGAAAATTTCAAGATTTAAACATCAGTAACCAAGATAGTATGGTATTGGCATAAGGACAGACAGAAAGATCAGAGGGAGAAAATATAAAATACAGAACAGATTCACAACAGACCTTTGATTTTGTAACTGCTGTTTTCTTTTAACAGCATAATGACAAAACTGGCCTTTTTTTTACTGTAGTGATGAGGGAGTTCTCACTTTGTGTATTGAACTGCTGTGCAGTATTTCATTGCAGGGATGTATCACCAATTATTGAACTGGCTCTCAAAGGTTGGGCATTTGCATTGTTTATGTATTTTTACTAGTCAGATCATGCAGCAGTGAACATCATTTGATTCATTTGTAATCGTTTCTGTAGGACAGTTACTAGAGTTGGAATTCCTGGTGTCAAAGGATTTTAATAACCTTAATTATAATGATATTTCCAACAGATATTATAATATGTATTTCCACTTTACCCTCTAAAATGTTTTATGCCTGGCTGGGTGCAGTGGCTCATGCCTGTAATTCCAGCACTTGGGGAGGCTGAGGTGGGTGGATCACAAGGTCAGGAGTTCGAGACCAGCCTGGCCAATGTGGTGAAACCCTGTCTCTACTGAAAATATAAAAATTAGCTGGGCATGGTGGTGCGTGCCTATAGTCCCAGCTGCTCAGGAGGCTGAGGCAGGAGAATCGCTTGAACCTGGGAGGCGGAGTTTGCAGTGAACTGAGATCATGCCACTGCACTCCAGCCTGGGCAACAGAGCAAGACTCTGTCTCATCAACAACAACAAATTTTATGCCCATTTATCCAACAGCAGTGTTATGATACCCCAAAGTTTGTCTGTACTAGGCAGAAATTTATATTAATTTTCATGTATTTATTAATGAAGTTGACTAATTTCATATATTTGTAGATTTTTAAAAACCTTCTAATCTTCTCACATTCCCTAAAACTTTGAGTAGATCTATTATCATTTGAACTTTCTGGTTATTTGAATTATAGTAAAGTAAAAATAGTTTATTAATACATTTCCCTTCATCTTTAGCAAGGAATTAAAAAAACCTATCTATGAATTAAACACTGAAAAAATATATATGTATTTTTTATTATACTTTAAGTTCTAGGGTACATGTGCACAACGTGCAGGTTTGTTACATATGTATACATGTGCCATGTTGGTGTGCTGCATCCATTAACTTGTCATTTACATTAGGGTATATCTCCTAATGCTATCCCTCTCCCATCCGCCCCCTCACCCCCCCACCCCACGACAGGCCCTGGTGAAAACACTGAAAATATTTATGAAGCCATGAATTAGCATTAAGCTTCTAATATATAGTTTATTTATACCAATTGTCTATAATTGCTTCTGTAGTAGGATGAAAAATTTACAAATAATTTTAATCAATTTTTGTGTATTCTAAAGTATGTAAACTTTTTTTTATCATGGAAAAGATTTTAAATGTTTTCATATTAGGATGTTACTTGGTTTTAGATCCCAATTTATAAATAAATAGACTAAGAGTGTAGTAGTCATTATGTTTTTAAAACTAAATGTTTTTGGGAATCTTATTAGGAAATGTAAAAAATATTTTAAAATCTTCATGTGTCCATTGATAGTATTCTTACTGTTCTTATATATTGTTTATACTCTTTTCTATAAGGATTTTTACAATATTTCTTAAAAATTTAAGACTGCTTCCTATTTGAAAAACTTTGTAAAATTTTAATTTTCAGCGTAAGAACTCTAGTTTTAGAAAATCAACTAACATGAATAAAAGTGAGATGCTCTCCAATAACAAATACTATTTCATGCCTTTAAAAAAAAATGTTGTAAAATACACATAACATGAAATTCACCTAATCATTTTATTTTATTATTATTTTTTGAGACAAGGTTTCACTGTTGTCGCCCAGGCTGGAGTGCAGTAGCGCAATCTTGGCTCACTGCAACCTCTGCCTCCTGTACTCAAGTGATTCTTCTGCGTCAGCCTCTTGAGTAGCTGGGACTACAGCCATATGCCACCCTACCTGGCTAATTTTTGTATTTTTTCTGGAGGCGGGGTTTCACTATGTTGGTCAGGCTGGTCTCAGCTGAGTTGAAGTGATTCTCAGGCCTTGGCCTCCCAAAGTGCTGGGATTCCAGGTGTGAGCAACCGCACCCAGCCCCTACCTAATAGTTTTAAAGTGCAGTGTTGAGAAAATCGTCACCACTATCTACCAGAGAATATTTTTGGTGTCATGCCTTTTTGAAAACATTTTTTGTGTCTCGGTTTGGCTGTAATGAAAATCTCTTCGATTTTATTGTTTGACCTTCGGGAAGCTAGTGTTTTACCTGTGGAAGTCCTGGTTTCCTCATCCATTAAATAAGATAATACCGCCTCATAGTGTGTGCTGTAGAGGCTAAATTAGATAACGCATTTCACCTGCTTAGAACATCTGCACTTAGAAAGTGCTTATTAAATGCTCAGCCTTTGCGCTCAGAGAGAGATTTTATCAGGCGCATTTACTGATTAGGAAATGTTTTACAGACCAGGTGCTCATGCCTATAATCCTAGCACTTTGGGAGGCCAACGGGGGTGGATTGCCTGAGCTCAGGAGTTCAGGACCAGCCTGGGCAAACGGTGATATTCCGTCTCTACTAAAATACAAAAAATTAGCTGGGCGAGGTGGTGTGCACCTGTAATCCCAGCTACTTGGGAGGCTGAGGCAGGAGAATCGCGTGAACCCAAAAGGCAGAGGTTGCAGTGAGCCTAGATTGTGCCATTGCACTGCAGCCTGGGTGACAGGTTGAGACTGTCTCAAAAAAAAAAAAAGAAAAAGAAAAAGAAAACGTTTTGCAGATATTCATAAACTGATAGATGGAAACCAAATAAAAGTAACCTACTTGTGTATTTCCTTAGCAGTTAAGATTTGAGATATTGTCCTTTCCTGAGCTTATTTGTGCGTGTTTGTATTGTGAATAGGAAGCTGACAAAAGTGTTGAAGAACTACGTGGACGGTGCTGAGAAGCCGGGAGTAAACGAGCAGCTGTACAAAGCCATGAAAGCGCTGGAGTCCATCTTCAAGTTCATCGTGCGCTCCAGGATCCTGTTCAATCAGTGCGTACCTGTCCCCTGCACGGCCTCTCAGAGGACTGGCAGGAGATCCTTCACTTCTTTCCTTCCCCTTCTCTCGACCCCTTATTCTTTCCTTTCTTCTTCTCCTCTTTTTCCCCTTGCTTTCTAGGCTGAGAGAGCACTAATTGATAGGGATTCTGGGGTGGGCTGCGCACTCTCTCCTTACCCTCCCGGGTCCCTGCTGGTGCTGAGGCGAGAGCCCTGTTCCTCATCTGAGATGTGTGCCTGTGAGTCCAGCCTTGGCTCCTGAAAGCATTCGCGATGGTGCAGGTGCAGTCCTGGGCATCTACCGAGGGCTCAGAAGCCCTTTTCAGAATATCTTTATGTGGCACAAAGCCCCAAAAGAACAACAACAACAAAATAGGCCGGGCACGGTGGCTCACGCCTGTAATCCCAGCACTTTGGGAGGCCGAGGTGGGTGGATCACGAGGTCAGGAGATCGAGACCATCCTGGCCAACATGGTGAAACCCCGTCTCTACTAAAAAATATAAAAAAGTTAGCCGGGTCTGGTGGCGGGCGCCTGTAGTCCCAGCTACTCGGGAGGCTGAGGCAGGAGACTGGTGTGAACCCGGGAGGCGGAGCTTGCCGTGAGCCAAGATCGCACCACTACACTCCAGCCTGGGCGGCAGAGGGAGACTCTGTTTCAAAAACAAAATAAATAAATGAAAACAAAACAACAATGAAAAGGCAAAAGCAAGTGAAATTGCCTCACTTGGACAGACTCTGGGATTTCCTTCTCTTTTCCTCAGTAGAGTGAAGTTGCATTTCGGGAGACGTCTTCCCACATAGCGTATTTCCATGAGGAAGGAGACTCAAGTGCTGTAGCCTAGTGACATTTTTCACACACTGTGTGGATGCACTTATGAGTGATTTTTGAGCTTTAAAGTAAATCGAAGGGTTAAAGGGGAACAAGAAGAATATAAATGTATTTATTACCATTGAACTGTATACTTAAAAATGGTAAAGATGGTGAATTATATCTATGTATATTTTGCCTCAGTAAAATAAATTGGGGTATTTGTGACTTGATTATTTTATAGAGAGCCTTAATATTGTATAGATACAGATGCAGGTTAAGAGCTGTGCTAAAATGAGGACTTTCTAAGTTGGCCCACGCCTCTTCACTGTATGATTCAAAGGATGTGAAAAGCAAGCGTACTGAGGGTGTGGTGTGCAATTTCACTCCCTCTGCTTGGTCTTTTGGGGGATGGCTATTTTGTGGGTGACCTGCCATGAGTGATGTCAGTGGATGTTGGTGGTCCTACGTTGTTATTGTTCTTGTTGTGAGTTCCACACACAGATGGGGTTCATTAACCTGTGTCCCTCTGAATTAGCAAATACATTTGCCTTTGAAAAGCGTGGTGCCCTTGTAACCGATTAGCGAAAATCAGCGATTGTAAGTGTGGACCCACATCAGTGCCTTCCCATTTCCTCCTCACTGCGTTTTCGTTTGTCTGAAGCAGTCGTGTCCAGAAGGACCCAGGAGAAGGGGAAAGAATTCACAATCTGACCATTTGTCTACCATGTTAGAAATAAGGACAGAGCAACAAGTGATTGACTGTGTGTTGACCTATCGAAGTCATAAACAGGGTGGCAACCACCAGTGATGTGAGACTGAAGTATGTTTGTGTGCACTCTGGGGTGCCCATGGTTAAAACCACAATCCTCGTGCTGCCATTTTTGCATACAAAGATGGCATGTTTGAGGGCATCATGGTTTTATCCTTGACTTAGATATTAAAGATACACCTTTTTATTTTGCTTATTATGGATATGCATGACCTTTGGTGTGGATTGAAGCTTTCCCTCAAGGGTCTAAGTTGTCATTTATTTGCTCATTGTCAGGGTGAAACACAGCATGGTAAGCTGGGTTATGTTTTCTTGTATTTTGATTATGTTTCAGTACAGTTAATTCTATTTCAGTAAAGTTAATTCTATGAAAATGAACTTCCTGGCCCCCTCTGCCTTGTTCTTATATTTTCCCCACTGATTTTAAATCTCTGATGACACTAAACCCAAATCAGTACTAGGATGGGAGGATGAACTTGAAAGATGTTACAGATTTTGTCGTGTTTTATTTGAAAAATGTTAATCTTATGCAGTGTGATTCATATAACATGACTCAGGCCATTTGATGATCTGCATATTCCTCCCAGGTAAACTGCGACTTTTCCTTTATTCAGCAGGTTTAATTCAAAACGATCGTGCGCATGATATCATTGTGTTGGCCGTGCGGGTGCGTCAACGCCTGTAATCCCAGCACTTTGGGAGGCCGAGACGGGTGAATCATAATGGTCAGGGAGACGAGGATCATCCTGGGCTAACCAGTGAAACCCCATCTCTACGTAAAATAAAACTAGCCGGGTTTGGGGGCGGCGCCGTAGTCCAAGCTACTCGGGAGGCTGAGGCAAGAGAATGGCTGGGAAACCGGGGCGCGAAGCTTCAGTGAGTGAGAATTCAGGCCACTTGTATCCGTCCCGGGTGACAAGCGAGACTCCGTCTCAAAAAAAAAAAAAAAAAAAAATAATCATGTGTGTCTACTATTTGAGTAAAATGCTATAATGCTGCTTTAGAAAAGATTGAGTTACCCAGGTTGACCAGTAGCAAATTATTTCTCTGCCTCTTTCTTTAATCTCCTTCAATTTCAAACTACAAATGGCAGAAAATCTTAGATTCATGGTCCGTAATTTTGTTTTCTTTGATGTCTAATAGTGCTTAGGAATATGATTGGCTGCATGTAATAGAAAAACCCCATTTATGTAACTTAACCATATGGGGTTCACTTTTGTTTTAGTCACATAACGTGCAGCCTGGAGGAAGTGTTCCGAGTTCATGCACTTGCATGAGGACTCTGTCCTGATGTCCTTGGCTCCTTTGATCTCTCTGCCCCACCATCCTTCGTGGGGTCTGTTTATCTCCTAATCCTAAGATGGCTCCTGTCCTTCTCAGCATCAGCTCTGCGTTCCAGGTGGAGGAGAGGGGAAGGCAAAGAGGAGACAGCTGTGCCAACTATTCTCCTTCGAAAGAGCTTCCCCATCCCTAGAAAGTATGGTGTGCTTTCATCTTATTGGCCAGAACCATGTCACATGACCACCCTACCCGCAGGAAGCTGGAAAGGATTTTTAGATGGGCTGATTGATGCTTTCTACAAAACCAGAGTGATTTTAGTAAAGAAGTTAGGGAGAAATAGATAATGGATGGGCAGTTAACATGCTCTTCCTCATACCTTCAACCCAGAAGGTCTGTTCTCTGAGAGCTTCCCTAACTCATTCTGGGTTACTAAATCTTACTTAACTAGGCTTTGCAGAGCCTTTCTTCTCCATTAGTTTGGGAGTCAATCTCTGAGACTTCTGTCAATAGTATCTCTTTGGCTTTGAGTTTCTCTTTAGGCCCTAAGTGATCCACTGGCATGGTTTAGTCCTACTAGGCTACATAGAAACTGACTGAAGTACTCAGCTGCCCCTTGTGTTTGGGACAGGAAGTGTTCAGTGCTAAAGTCGTCTGAATGCCTGCATTCTGGTGGTCAGCAGCATGGCACAGACCATGATCCCTCTGCCTGCCTTTGTCCTGGTGTGGACCCAGCAGGAGCCTGGCATGGTCCACAAACTGAGTTTCTTTGCTGGGGTAACTTGTTTGTTAGAAGAGTTGAGACTGTCGAGGACACAAAGTGGTCACAAGACAAGTTGTAGCAATTGTTACAACTCAGTGAGGCTCCCTAAGCCTCTGAGGCCATTGTCTGGGCATTCCTGACTTTAGCTGACCAAGTACTGCAGTGATTCTGGAGATCCTGACGATGCTGCTACTGCTCCTGGTCATGAGGATGATGATGATTTGAGACAGGACCTCCCTCTGTCACTCAGGGTGGAGTACTGTGATGCAGTCATAGGTCACTGCAGCCTCAAACCCTTGGGCTCAAGCCATCCTCCTGCCTTAGTCTCCCAAGTAACCAGGACTACAGGCAGGTGCCAGCACACCTGGCTAATTTTTTGTAGGACATGGTCTCACTGTGTTGCCCAGGCTGGTCTCAAACTCCTGGCCTGAAGCGATCCTCCTGCTGTGGCCTCCCAGAGTGCTGGGATTCCAGGCGTGAGCCCCTGTACCCCACTGATTCTGGGGAGGTTGATACTCATGTTCCTTCTCTCCCTCCCTTTTCTTCCCTTCTTCCCTAGCGTCTTCCTTCTCTCCTTTTTTTGTTCTTTCCTCTCTCCATCCCTCCTTTTTTCTCTTCTTTGTCCCTTCCTTCCTTCCATGAATACTTAATGAGCATTTGAGCCCCAAGTGTATCCCAGACTTTCATAGTTTGACTTTATTATTTTTTCTCTGAACGTTTCCTGAATGTGGATCCTGGCTGCCTACCCTGATTCCGGAGGGGAGAGAAGGACACAGCATTCTTTGAGACGTAGAGCACCTAGCTGCGTTGTGCAGAGACAACAAATACTTAAATTTAAATCTGTATTCTGAAATGGCTGAGAAGATATTTCATAGATTTTATGAGAGGAGAAAACCCATGCCCTTAGAATATTGGATGGTAGGGCAGAAGTCTTCTAGTAATCCCTCCCCTTCTGTCCTCCTCACCCCAGCTCCCCATCATCCCACCATAGCATGTCAGTTGTTACTTCATCTGTGCTATCACAGGTCTGAATTGTAGATGAAATCGTTTTCCTAGCTTGTGTAGGCTACTTAAAGGAAAAAGAGCCCCACGTCCCACGCAGATGTCTAGAATGTCTGATCCGTGACAATCTCCAAGCGTGTCTCCTGTGTGGTGCTGTCAGAGGTGGGGAAGAAAACAAACTAGGACTCTCATCTTCTTACCTCCAGCATGTGTATTACCTTGAGAGAAAAACAATTGTGCTCACAGCTGGAATTCATGAATGTGTTTTCCTTTTTGTAGTTGGGATAAACTTTTGAGATCTTATTTTTCTTTTGCTTTCAAAATGGTCTGCTGTGTTTTCCTGTGATTCAGTAGCTTTGTTAAATTCCAGGATAATTGACCGTAATTATTCTTCCAAAGAACAAAGAGGTGAAACTTTGGAGATGAAGATACTGAAGCTTATATTGTTAACTTACTATCTTTCTTGCTATGCAGTCTTATATTTTTTGTTTTGTTTAGAAAGCTCATTTTGTTTTGAAATGAGAACAACAGTTTAAAAGCTATGGCCCAAAGACATTTGATTCCTGGGGAACCCACTGAAAGATTCCTGACAGCCAGGGGCACTTCTCCACTGGTTTTTGTTTGTCTGTGTTTTCTGCGTGGGCGGATTGCATTAACTAGAAAGCCAGAAAACAGATATCCTGCATCAGACCTTCAGAATCAAATTACTAAATGTAGTTATTGCCTGCCTCCTCTTCTGGGTTTCTTGCGCTTCGTAGAGTTTTTGCCTGTCATCTGGTGTTAGCTTTATAAATAATTAGTTATTGATCATGAATAAGTTGTACAGACCTTTTTGCTCTCATTCCCTGGGTCACAAAATAGAATGTAGTTAATAGACGAAGATCCTGTCATTCCTTGTTAATGAATACTTATTTAAGTAGAGCTAGGAATGAGCAGATCTTATTCATCTGTTTATTGATATGTTTCTGAGTTGTTTTTTCTCAGTTTTTTATCCACCTTAGGGTGGATCAAAAAAGTGGCTCTCCCTGGTTTATCTGGGAAAACGAAAAGGGAAGATTCTAGAGACTTTCACAGTGATCTTTTGTTACAGAAAGATGCTTCAAAAGGATCACTGCAAAATGCTATGTTCTAAACATGCTGGTTGGTACAAGATAAACTGTTTTACATTTTTATTCATGAGAGGTTCTGCAGAATTTTTAAAATATTAAAGATTCATTAATCATGCTTTATAGATTTTGAAGCTGTGTTATTGGGGGCATACAGATTTAAAATTGTGATGTCTTTCTTGTGGATTTATTCTTTAATCAATATGAAAAGTTTCTCTTAATCTTTTGGCTAGTATTTGCATGGAATACCTATTTCCATTCTTTTATTTTGGTGCTTTCTGTGTCTTTATACTTAAGGTGTGCCTCTTATTAGCAACATATAGTTGTATTTTTCTTTAATCCAGTCTGACAGCCTTCTTAATGGAGCATTTCATCCATTGATATGTAGTATAATTAAGTAATATGTTAGATTTATATATATTATTTTTACATTAATTTTCCCTTCCCCATATGTGTTATGTTTCCCTTTTACTCCTTTTTTGCCTTCCTTTATAGCAGTTACACTTTTTTTAATCATCCCATTTTCTGATTTCTTAATATATTATTTGAATATTCTTTTACTATTATTTTTAACAATTATCCTAGAGATGGTAACATGCATGTTGGACTTGTTTTAGAGTATTTCAAATGATTACTCTTACCAATCCACTGATAATGCTAGATATGGCCAGAAAAATAGCACACTAGAATTGGCATTTTTTTCTCTTCTGTTTATATTATTATTGTATTTCAATTCTACATATTTTATATTCCATAAGATATTACTGTTATTTTATACAGTTAGTATTCATTTGATGTGTTTTATGTTTGTAATTGTTTTTCATCCTTCAATTTCACTTTTCCTTTGGGATCATTTTCTGTAACTCCCTTGTATTATTTCTTTTAGTATTGCCCAGTTATGGGGCTGTTTGTATGAAAATGATTTATTTCATCTTTGTGTTTGAAAGATATTTTCACTCACTATAGCGTTCTAGATTGGAAGCTATTTTCTTCTTCCATGTATTATTCTATTCTGTTTTGATTTTCTTCGTTTATGGTAAGTCATTAGCTTTCAGACTTATGGATACATCTTTGAATTTAAATGGTATCGTTTTCTTTCTTGCTGCTTTTAGTTTGTCTCCTTTTCTGTGGTCATTGACAGTCTTACTATGGGTTGCATAGGATTGTTTTTGCTGTTAATTTATCCTGCCTTGCATTTTTGAATTTTTTGATTGATATCTTTGATCAGTTTTGGACGATTGGTGGCCATTGTCTGTTCTAATGTTACTTTTGTCCCATTATCTTCCTCCTTTTCTCTTGGCACTTGAATTACATGTATGTTAGATCTCCTCAATATGCCTACACATCCCTAGCCCTCTTTTCTGTATTCTCTTCCTTGGTACTTCTGTTTAGTTATTTTCTGTGGATTGTCTTCCATTTTACTAATTCTGTCTCTTGCTGTGTCTACTCTCTATTTTGTTAATCCATATAATAAATTTTTAATTTTAGAGATTATATTTTGTAGTTTTAGAATTTCCATTTGATTATTTTTAAATAGATTCATTTCTCTACTAAAAGTTTTCTCTTACCTTCTATTTGTCATATTTTTATCTTATTTTCCCTGTTCTCAAATATGATGATTATAGTTGTTTTGATGTTCTAGGAAACCGTAATATCTAGATTATCTGCGGGACTGTTTCTGCTCTCTTTTTCCTCTTTCACTTGGACTGTGGTCTGGTTTTCTGCTAAGGTTAATAATTTTTGTTTGAAGTCAAGACCTTTTGTATGTAAAACTGTAGAAACTTCAGATGATGTGATCTTCTTCCAGAGATAATTCATCCTGTCTTTTTCTAGACAAAGTGGGTCTGACCATGTTATTTTAATCAGAGCCTGCTTAGTTTCAAGGCTACATTGTACCCTTAGTATGCCTCTGTCTCCATTTACTATACCTCTGGCTTTCTAAGATCCTTTCATCTGAGAGTCAGCTCTGTTACCTGGGGACTCTCTCCCTGGCTTTTTCCAAACTCTAGTCATTTTCTCTGATGACTGATACAAATTCCACTTTGCTTTATAGAGGTTTTCATTTTGGTTTTTAGTCTTCTACCCCATACAGTTCTAGGAATTACGGATGTCCTGAGGGGAAAAATGATTGTAGCTTGATGCTTCTGAGGGTTGTACCAGTCTACCAGGTGTTCTCCATGTCACCTGCAAGCAGAAGTTCATGACTCACATCATTTTAATTGTTTGGTACATCTCTTAAGCAAATGCCATTTGAAAACCCTTATTTACAAAACAGATCCACTAGGTTGCAATTTCCCATTTTACACAGAATTTATTGCTTTACAGTGGAATCCATTTAAATATCAGACTACCTCTAGGGTAATTAATTATCACGTAGTTTACAAAACTTTCCATTGTACACAAGTTTTCAGGTATCGTATATTTTTAATTAGGCAGCAAACTAGTATTAATAAACTCTGCATTAATAAAACATCTGAGTCACAGTATTTTAAAATGCAAATGTGTTGCTTTTTAGTAACACAGCAACTTGAAGTAACTGCTAATAAATAATTTACAGATGAGACTTATTTTCAATTAGTAACATATATTAGCATGCATGTAACCAATGCACAACTTCCTTATTACCTATTTATTGAATATGTCCCACCTCTTGAATACTTTTCAGTTACCACTGATGTTGAAATGAATACATTTGTATAGCACTGTTATTCTGAAATAAAAAGTAAAGCAACTCTTGTAATATCGTTTTAAAGGATTAGAAGATCCTGGTAAATTGAGTGTGTTGTTGATTTTCAATTTGTGACGTAATGGGTTTAAAAACACTGGTAGTGGCCACCTGGCGGCTCACACCTGTAATCCCAGCACTTTGGGAGACCGAGGCGAGTGGATCACCTGAGGTCAGGAGTTCAAGACCAGCCTGGCCAACATGGTGAAACTTTGTCTCTACTAAAATACGAAAGTTAGCTGGGCATGGTGGCGGGCACCTCTAATCCCACCTACTTGGGAGGTTGAGGCAGGACAATTGCTTGAACCCAGGAGGCGAAGATTGCAGTGAGCCGAGATTGTGCCATTGCACTCCAGCCTGGGTGACAAGAGCAAGACTTCGTCACAAAAATAAATAAATAAATAAAAATAAAAACACTGGTAGAAAACTCAACAGCATCTTAATAGTGTAATTTTTGTGGGGTAGAAATAAAGCTGAATTTCCCCATCCTCTTTCCCTCCTTCTCTTCCTCGGCCCCTTCCTCCCTCCCTTTCTGTATATTTTCTGTGTTTTTCAGATTCATAAGTTATAGTATGTTACAATGAAAAGGCAGTGAGTGGTAGCATTAAGAGTCAGCCTCTGTATGTGGAGGCATGCCACCTTGGCTGAGTGGTCTGCGTGAGTCTCGCTGCCAAGTCACCTTCCTTGCTTCATGGATGTTGAGGATGTGGTCTCTCATTCTAACTTGTCACCCAAGGGATTCCCTTCATGGCTATAGACAGGGATTCAAAAAACGTTGAGGTGTTTCTGCCAGGCCCCCACAGTTTGTGTGTTTCTTTGCAGACTGTATGAAAACAAGGGAGAGGCCGACTTTGTGGAATCTTTGCTGCAGCTCTTCAGGTCCATCAATGACATGATGAGCAGCATGTCAGACCAGACCGTCCGGGTGAAGGTGAGTGCCGGCCACCGCCAAGGCAGACTTTTCTTTCTTTTCTTCTTTCATTATCGTTTTTCGAGGTAGGTATTTTGATTACAGTTAATAAACTTGCCCCAAATACTATAGTTGTTAATGTCAGAGATCTCAATTTGATTTCAAGAGCTGTGCTTTTTTTTTTCCTCTTTCTTCCTCTCCTCTCCTCTCCTCTCCCCTCCCCTCCTCTCCTCTCCTCTCCTCTCCTCCCCTCCCCTCTCCTCTCCTCTCCTCTTCTTTCCTCTTTCTTTCCTCTTTCTTTCGTTTTTTGTTTTGAGATGGAGCCCCACTCTGTTGCCCAAGCTGGAGTGCAGTGGCGCGATCTTGGCTCACTCCAACCTCCGCCTCCCAGGTTCAAACAATTATTCTGTCTCAGCCTCCTGAATTGCTGGGAGTACAGGTGCATACCACCACGCACAGCTAATTTTTTTTTTATTTTTAGTGGAGACGAAGTTTCACCATATTGCTCAGGCTGATCTCCAACTCCTGACCTCAGGTGATCCACCTGCCTCGGTCTCCCAAAGTGCTGGGATTACAGGCGTGAGCCACCGTGCACAGCCTTTTTTTTTCTTTTATTTGTAGTTGACACATAATAATTTTACATGTTTATGGGATACATGCTGATAATAGAGGTATACGGTGTGATCAAATTAGGGTAATTAGCATAGCATCACCTTGAACGTTTTTCATTTCTTTGTGCTGTGAACATTCAGAATCCTTTCTACTAGCTTTTTGAACATATACACTAAATTATTGTTGACCTTCTTCACTCTACATTGCTACAGAACACTGGACTTTATTCTTCTTATCTAGCTGTAGCTTTGTATCAAAGTGCACTTGTAGATGAAGGGCTTCGCCTGTGGCTGAGTGAAGGGGCTGTGGGCCCTACCAAGCCTGAACTAGAGGGAAAGGCCTCGGAGCCTGTTTTGTAGTGAACATCATCACGCTCCATGTGCAGTGAAATCCTTTCTTCCTCCTCCCCAGGTGCTTTTAAATATTTTCATTGCTTCTCTCTTTGCTCTTTGGAAAGAGCGATTCCGAATTTACTTTATTTAAATTTGGGGGAATTGATGAGAATCATGTTTTACACCTAATTTCTCAGGGTGTCCATGCTCCGGAAATGATGGTGAATCTTCATGCTTCATCGGATCTTTGCCTGTGCACAAGAGCGAGCCTTCCAGTGCCCTGTTCTTCTGTTCTTCTTCCCTCTTTTGATGCCCTGATCTCACCGTGTGGTCCTTTGGAGGAAAGATGGCTTCCCCTCATGAGGCCTGAGTGTTCTTTAGGATGCTCACTGGTGCGGAAGTGCCTGGGAGGCCCGTGGAGCAGCTGCAGGACCCCCACACTCTAGGTTATTCCAGTGATGGCAGTTTTCACTGGGCTGACTTATTGCAGAAAGAGCTGTGCAACTTGCAATTTGCTGCCTGCACTAATTCCTTCAAAGAACAAGAATCTTCCAAATGATTAACTTACATCTTTCACTCGACTGGTCGTGGTAGACGCTTCTGTTCTTCCTCTTTTAATGTTCGTTTAATGTATAATTTTAGAAGGCATTCTTACGGCTAGTGTCTTAAAAGTATTTTGGTCAAGTCGTTTCCCAGCCTTAAAGCTTTGCCGTATGCCCTGGAACAAAGATGTATGTGTGCTGAGACGTGGCTTATGGTTGCTGTGACCAAGGAAACCAGCATAAGCAGACATGAATCGAGTCGGAGCCTACCTTTCATCTCAGAGGTGGTGCAGCTGTTCGGTGGAGCCATTTGGACTTTTTACTATGATTTCTTGATTTTTTTTTTTTACATGAATTTACTATAAAAATTGGTGATTTATACAGAAAGAAATATATGTGGTGCATACATTAAAATTTTAGGTTATTTTGGCAACTTGATATTGCCCAAAGCCATCTTATTGTCCCAAGGTTAAAATTAGCAATGTGTATGGTACATTTACTACTGAATTCAGTGGCATTTTAGAAAAACAGACGTGCGTAGTGTAAGAATAGATTAAAAATTACAGGAAGTTTTGAGCCCAGCAGTAATTTTAGATTGCTAAATATATTCTTACATTATTAAATTTGATTGGGCTTGATTTGTGTCTGCCTCCCTCCCTTGAAGTCAGATTACTTAGTGACTAGGGACTGGGAAGACCTTGCTTCAGTGGGTGTTTTATTATAAGACACAAGCAAATTGAGTGACGTGTGTGCATCGATGCAAACCTTACATCTGCAAGACAGATGCGTTTTATTAGATACGTCGCCTCCCTTCTGCTAATTTGGATCATATTATTTCACAATAGGTGCTTTCTCGATGACGTTGGAAATTTAAAGATTCCCATCGTGGGAGCCTGGCTTTTGTGTTGTTTTAACTCTTGCAGTTTTGCTGTGTCTAAATGGAAGGAAATAACCTTGTGAACCATCTTACATAGACAAAGTATATTTTCAGACTGTGACATTTAAAGGTTAAAGATTGTTTCCCCAAGCATGGCCCATGTTGGTACCAAAGGGTTGGTGCCTTCCCGGTTCAAGTGATTCTCCTGCCTCATCCTCCCAGTAGCTGGGATTACAGGCACCCACCACCATGCCCGGCTCATTTTTTTGAATTTTTAGTAAAGAAGGACCCCATCCCCTTCTTGGTACCAAACCCGCCACTGGTATCCACTTTGCAGATTAGAGTCAGCCACGGGATTTGACAAGTCAGTGAAGGGGGAGGGCAGGAGGAACTTCAGATGTCATTTACTGCAGGGTAAGCGTGGTCTCCAGCTAGAATTTTCAACAGGACTGTTGTCATTGATTTAGTGACAGCATTTTTCCAAGGTCATTTAAGTGAGAAAACACAAATGGAGGATGCTTGGGCAAGTTTTTATGTTAAGTCAAATGTCCAGGAAGCTCCAGTGAGTGTGTGGACGCTGCCTCCCTTCACTCCCCTGCCCAGCGGCCACCTCTCGTTACCCCCGCTCCTCAGGCGCCTGCATGCCCAGATGTTTCAGTGCCGCCTCACCGTCCCTCAGTTAATGGCCCTCAGCCTCGGGGCTGCAGCCAAATGCTTTTTCAAAACATACTGCCGTGGCCAAATAACATGAAATCCCCCATTTCTAAGTGTCCCGTTCAGTGGCATTAAGTACAGTCACATTGTTGTGCAACCATCGTCACCATCCTCCTTTAGAATCTTCTCATCTTTCCAAACTGAATGAAACCCCAGCCCTGTCAAACACCAACTCCCCTCAGTCCCTGGCAGCCACTGTCCTACTTTCTGGGTCTAAGAATTTAATGGCTCTGGGAACCTCGTGGAAGTGGACTCATACTGCATTTGTCCTTTTGTGTCTGCCTTCTTTTTTTGTTTGTTTGTTTTGTTTTGTTTTGAGACAGAGACTGGCTCAGTCGCTCAGGCTGGAGTGAAACGGCGCAGTCTTGGCTCACAGCAACCTCCAGCTTCCCAGTTCAAGTGATTCTCCTGCCTCCCAGCAGCTGGGATTATGGGGACCCACCACCATGCCTGGCTAATTTTTTTGTATTTTTAGTGGAGACGGGGTTTCACCATGTTGGCCAGGCTGGTCTTGATCTCCTGACCTCGTGGTCTACCCATCTCGGCCTCCCAAAGTGCTGGGATTACAGGCGTGAGCCACTATGTCCAGCCATGTTTGGCTTCTTTTACGTGGCATAATGTCTGCAAGGTTCTACCAGGTTGTAGCATGTGTCAGAATGGTCTTCCTTTTTAAGGTTGTCATGTTGCTGTGTGTCTTGTCCACGTTTTGCCCGTGCACTCGTCCCTGGATAGAGGCTCGGCCTGTTCCCACCTAATGGTGGTGGTGGTTCATGCTGCTGGGAACTTGGGTGTACAGGTGCCTCTTGAAGACCCTGCTGCCAGTGCTCCAGAAGTGGAATTGCTGTTTCCCGTGGTAATTATGCTTGAATTTTTCAAAGAATCATCCTGTTTTCCCCAGCACCCCACCATTCTACTGAAACCTCATTTGAAATTCCATATTGACTTTCCCTTAGCAGTCTTTCTGCAGCTCCTCGAGCTCCAGCCCGCACACCACCTACCTTGAGTGAATGATGCCGCTCTGACCGCCGCACTGAAAAGACCTGGGGTCGGAGGTGGAGGTTGCAGTGAGCCGAGATCGCGCCAGTGCACTCCAGCCTGGGCAACAAGAGCAAAACTCAGTCTCAAAAAAAAAAAAAAAAATAGAAAAGGAAAAAGAAAAGCCTTGGGGTCTCGGCATCACCTCTTTCTGTCTGTTTCCCTCTGAAGAGGAGGAGCCCACCTGCTGCGCAGTGCTGACCCTCCCCCTCCCTGAGACCCGCTCCACCCCTTGCTGTTTCCTCACCATCTCAGATCTCCTGTCTTCACCTTGGGCCGCCTCTTCACCAGGCCCAGATGTTCTGGAAATTCAATCCCTGCCTTCTGGATTCTTCTTTGCCCTTGGCGTCTCTCTCTCCCACCTGACAAGAGGGTCCTTGGCCCCATTGCCTCTGCCCTCCGGTCCTGTTCTCTGTTCTGCCCGAAGTGATTGTGGCTGCTGCTCCTCCCGGGTGCCCCCGTAGCCCCCAGCTGCGGTGTCTCCAGACAGCCTCGGAATTCCCTTCTGCTGTCTTCTCTTCTCTGTGCTACTGTGGCGGTGGTTTCTTGAACCACTGGGCTTGGTAGGTCCCCAGTTCTTCTTCCTGAAATTAGGGCGGAAAAGTCTTGGAACCATTTCCCGCACCCTGGTGCTGGACCTGCCCCTTTTTTCCTCGGCTTCTCTTTTGGTGTTTTCCTGAAACTCCCATCTGGCGATGACTTGCCGTTTCTCAGAAAACCGTGCTGTTCTTCAGCTGCCAGGAGAAATGGGTCAGATTGCAGTGTGTGACCTCCAGACAGCTTCACAGGCAGCCCGCCTGGCTCTCCAAGCCTTTTCCCCTCTTGGAGACCCAAGTAGAGCCAGTGCCTTCCCCAGGAAACACCAAACATCTGGGTGTGGGGAGCCTCCTGAGGGTTAGTTGCCCCCAT